CTCTTATGACGCTTAGAGAGAAGGGGACGTTTATGCTTGACCACAGCCTTCAGACCAGTGCTTTTGAGCTTTCTACGCATAGTCTCCACATGAAAGGGCTGGTTGACAACATCTTGGAGAAGTCTGGTCACTTCAACAGCAGTATCTGCCTGTCCAGTGGTAAGAAGGCGAGTAGCATGGCGAATGATTCCAGGATTAAGCTTTGTAGGACGACCTCCACCAGATGTAGGCATGTTAGGACAATGCTCAGAGCGAATTCTGGACACAGTGGAGTAATGGACTGCAGTCAGATGAGCAATCTGTCTGACAGAATGACCTTGATCAAGCAGGGAGAGAATGTGGGCGGTCTGAGTAGCAGAAACCTTTTTCATGATGGTTGTACTGAAGTTGAACGGTCTGTTGAGTGTTGATCAACTCATGTTGAAGTTCAACAAAGATCACATGATCCAAACTTTAAACCTTAAAGCAAACAAACTTCTGCAAGGGGGTATTTTTGTCTTCAGAGTTGTCAGCCACAAAACTGTTGCAATGCATCTTTTGTAAAGAATATTTTGTATCTCACCAACCAGAAGGCCGATTTACTTCATCTGAGTGCCATTTGAAAGCTCATATCATAGGCTTTCTAACGATATATATGTATGTATATTTAGCTATTTTGGTCTCTGAGATATAAGCCAAACAATGCAACTGTTGCAAACATTGCAACAGTTTTGTGGCTCACTGTATATCCCAGGAAGGTACATACACCTGGTTGTCTAGGAATGGCTGAACCAGGGACTGCACAGCACCTGTGGTTCAACACGCTCCACATTTATATGAGCCTACGGGATCGAAGATCAAGCATGGGGGCACGCAACAGAGCAGCGGGCATGTACCGTCCTCTTTGATGCCTCCGAGAATATTGTAAACATAGTAGGGGAAGAAACGGCGAGCATAGAGCATGGTCTGAATGAGACGAGCGGAGGCACGGAGGGACATGTCTTTCGCATGGGCATGGCGGTACCACTTAGCAGGACGTTAGACGAGCGCACCGAGAGACAAATAGCGAGCATGCACCTCAAGCCTTTGTTTGACCTGATTCACGAACGTGTTCCAATCTGCTGCAAAGCCATTCACGGCGAGGACAGCTCGATAGATTTTGTACCTACATCAGCTTGCACGCTGTAGCACGCTCGGACCTCCACGCCATGCACAGTCTGAAGACGTTCGGTGCACAGCGCGTCTGGATGCTGTACCCCTCGCTCTGGTGAGTGTCTCCTGCAATGACGGTGAAGTCTTTGCCGACAATGGCGAGGATGATGCCGCCGTTCTCGGTTTAGGTATTGAACTGGCATTGCTGGGGGTTGCGTACGAGTCGTCAAGCGTGGTGATGGTCTGTGCGCTGGGCAAAACTCTGGCTGAATGTCTGGGAAAAGGTGGTGATCTTCAAAAAGAAGTGACGACGAAACCGGGAGAGCAGGTGTGCGGGAAAGAGATGGGGAGCGAAGGCGTATATACTTTCAGGTGATGAGGAGGTGGTAGCGGTCAACACCGACTCGTGCAATACGCGACCACGTGATGATGTGTAGGTGGAATTAGATCTCCGAAAGGAACATGTAAACACACTTTAAACCCCGAAAATGAAAGGCCGCACTGCTTTCTGACCCTTACTGCCCCAAGACTCGTTCAAGGATGCCTGATTCTTGTACGTCTTTCATCAAATATTTGTGCCTTTACACTTATGCCGCCGTTCATCTGTAGTGCACATGCAGTATGCTCCTGCAGCATGGGTCCCTCTCATCAAATCTCCGAGTCTCAGGGTACCTCGGCCGGTTCGTCCATCTTCGAAACACAACTGTATCAGTTTATAAATGCTACTCAGGTAATACGCCCTCCAGATATTCACCCACTGCCTGACGATGTAACCGCATACGTGAGTCCTCCTTGCATCGAGACGCGTGCTCTCATCCGTTCTGTACCCGCGCCGCCAATTCGTCTACCCATTCACGCTTGAGCCGCATGTGCTGAGACTGGAGGATTCGCGACGGGTGACTCTCGCCGCTCACGCTGCTCGTCGCGAAGCGTACCTCAAGTCCCACGAAGAGGAGAAGGAGCGCCACAAATGAGAGGCGTTGCACAGAATTGCACCGGGCTTCGAGCCTCAAGGATCACCACTCGTCCCTCTCAAGCTCGCCGTCTGCAGTACCAGATGATGAGAACACGGCCATACCAAGTCTGTCATGGAGGATCTTGTAGATCATCTGGCTGCACTGGATATGGATACGTGAACTCCCTCTGCAACATGTTCCTTCGCTCGTGCCCTCAGGTTGTCTTATTTTGCAATCGCCTTCCTGTACGCTAGCTAGTGCTGTCCTTATGTCTCGTAGTATAATCTACGAGATTCAGAGTTTACATAATTCGAACAACTGTTCGAGGTCCTTGAGTGGCCCATGCGTAGTCGCGACCTTCTCACAGTGTCCCACGACAAGGTGACACTGACCGCCAAGCTGCCTATCGAGCTCATTGATGAGATACATCTGTGATGCATATCCTACCGTCGACGAGGATTCTTTGTCAACTGCCACGAGGTTGAAGCCCGATTGGAGATTGATTGAGCCTCTCACCCTGACTTCCAGGAGCATCTGCCAGTCGGCTATCGAGGCTTAGTTCCACGTCTTCTTTGTAGCCAGCCATCCAAGAGATTTCGTCGAGATCGATACGTTTCCTCAAGTCAGCAGCTGGATAAGGTATGGTTCTTTGCGAAAACTCAGCATCAGTACAGGACTAGATGGTGCCCCTCTAGAGTCCTGCATTGCAAAGATCATGACAGAACTCTTTCTGATGCAGAGGCCGGCCCATGGTGGGACCTCAGCAAGTTCAAACGCGTAAACAAACTACGCCTGGACGTCGATCCTTTCGACTACAACTACGCAATCGACTTCTGTAATGTGCCGCCTCTGCAAGAGCTCGAGGTCCACGACCACCCATGGCCGTCTCCCGTCTTCTTGCAGGCCACCGCGATGCGGTTCCCTGAGCTGCGGGTCCTCCGACTCTCGCAGAAATCGATCTATTGCAGCCTCTGCAACACATGCAACGTCCCCGCATTCAAGGAGGAGCCGCCTTCGCTGATCGTGTACACCGGCGGCATTGGCCTACCCGTGAGTGTACCTCTATCTCTTCTTTTCTCCGCAGAGAGTGGGCAAATGTTGTGAATCCGAATAAGTTTGGGTGCATCATGGGCTCAAACCCCCAACTGGCTCTGTATCTGTGCAGGCCAAAAGAAGTCTGCTTCTTCAGTGTAGCCTCCCACTCGGCCATCTGAACGGCTAGTGCACCTCTCTTTATGGCTATGAGGGGACTCATCACACAGCATAGATCCATTACAATCGCTTTTGGGCCATGCTCGAGCACCTGCACACCGTGCGCATCACCGTCGGCTACGAGAAGGATGACGACTCGCAGATCAACAAGGCGAACGAGAACCTCTGGTGCAGCGAGTGCGACCACTGCATGGCGGTCATGTATGCAGACGAGGGCTTCCGGTTGGACTGGGTGGAGCGGAAGAAGAATGCGCAGCTGCGGCCGCTGGCGCTGCAGCGCGTCGAGTGGCGCTTCGTGTACGTGGAGGTACCCGCTGAGCAGGTGGAGGCCATGCTGGAGACAGTATATGATAGCGAGGAGGAGGCGGAGGACGAGCAGTAGCTCAGCTTGTGGTGCGTCTCGAGTCTGCGTTCGTGCAGTTGATGTTGAATGCGTGCAGGAAGGTTCGATCTTCTGGACTTGTCTTCACCATGTACAAGTATATCTGGCCAGACCATGGATGGATTTCTACATTTCGCGCAACGCTTGTTTTGGTGACCAAATACAAATTACCCCGTATCTTTCAATTTCTGGCATTAAAGTGCTGGTGTTCGCGAGCCGTTGCAGCCACCAACGAGATGACAACACTCTGCACATGGCAAAAAGAGTGTATGGAATTAATGCACCAGAGTGGTGTGTCCGAAATCATTGCCTCCACATCTCCCATAGTTTCTATAATCTTTGTTGGATGCAGGGGTGTTGTCATCTTGTCGGTAGCTACAGTGATTCGGCAGCAGTCGCCGTTGGAACCCATGGACCGAGAGGGTCAAGCTTAAACTCATTACGTCCCGTCGCCACGATAGGTACGCACAAAGTGAACAGAGTATACATTCGGATGTTTAAATAACACTGCATTGATATCCTGCGCAAGATGGCCGACAGTTATACAGTTGATATATGTGAGACAAGCAGAGCTGGTCACATCGCACTACACCCTCATACACGAACGTGAGCAGAGTCGCGAGGCGGCTGAGTGTCCAGGATCTGGTCAGTGTGTATGTCCGATGGTCACAACGCTGTGATACTCACCGGCGACTTGATGTCGAGAATCTGGGCGAGGGAGTCGAACTCGCCGGTCGTGGGCACGGCCGCACCAGTGCAGACTGCATGGTCGATGAGTTGAAGCACCTGACAATAAGAGACACGACACGCACTGTCAATAATCCGCTGCTCGGAGAGGTGCAGCTTGGACGCGATCTCCGAGTACGAAAATGCCTGATCGATCGTCAACGCCGACGGTTAATGCGTCCCCAATAGCGTGAGTCCTATTGGACGATACCTTTCTTGTCCTTGGCAGCGGCGAGCGCAGTGCATTGCGGGTCGCCGGCCCTTCGCATCCTAGTACGAGTATGCTGCCTGCCCGCTGGGAGCTGTACGACGAGGCGTAAGTCAATCGTTGACATCAGTTACGCGGAAGTAACAACTGTGCGATCAGGTACAATTTTATGTCCGACCCTCGCGAAGTCGGCGCAACTGTAGTGCTCTCAGTCGACGAGTCCAGCTACAAAGGCAAGCACCCTGCAAGACTCGATACAATCTTTAACTGATCTGACAGCGCAGACACCAGAGAGAGGAAGTATAATCACGGGACCCCACACCCACTGATGAATAGGCTACAGCTCTATCGGGCACTCAAATGACAAAATTCTGTCAGCGCGGTTCCAGGAACGCGGAGCCGGTATGCAAGCTGGTGGAATTGCTGGCCGTAGCTTCTTCACTAGCCTTGGGCACTGCATCGAGACATGGCAGGTGAGCAGCGGCTGAAACATTAATTCGTGAGTCTTACCGTAGCCGCAGAACGAAGTGTTCCTTGCGCATGTCTTGGGCGGAATCCAATGGGCCATTTAGAGGGGTACGACGAAGGCATTTAATCCTAATGCTTTGGTGGGAAACTCTGCCGCTATCTCAACCTGATTGCGGTTCATCCGCATCCTTAACAGCCTCTATCCACCGCGGTCGGCGTTCATGTACCATTATTGTCTCACTACCATCTTTTCCCGGATGTGCTCTGTCTATACTACACTGTCAATTTGATTAATGCTACACGAGTGTTCGGCCCGCCATCAGCAGTTCTCATAAAGAACGAATGCGGATGTCCATCTGTCTGCGCTGTGCTGAGATACGACTCTGCCTTCAAATGATACAGTCTGAAGTTAGGACGCGTCCTCAGTCACGGTCACGCAGACGCGTCGCGCTAAATACATGTCCACTTGATCGAGGAATTTGGGCGGCAAATTGACGCTGCTCTATCTCGGTTTTTCCAGTTTCCTCCATTGACTGCTCTTAGCCGAAGATCTCAGGCTCAATCGACACTCGCGGGGCCATCGTGTCGTCATTTTCCGTGAAGGAAACACCTTACTCGGCGGAAATGTCGTGTGGCAATCCCATCGTCGAGGCCGACGGTCTCATGCCCAGTGCGTGCCGTCTAGTCCTGCAAAGTGACAGGAATCAAATTGACCTCTTCCATTTCAGAGAAAAAGCGGTATGACAAGACCAAGCAATGCGTGAGATGTAAAGTCACGGAGGGGAACATCGTCATTCGCCACCCTGTCTACTGCAAGTACGCCCTCGTGCATGCCCACACCTCCTAAGGCTAACACCCGACAACGCTCCTCAGGGAATGCTTCTTTTCCCTCATGACCCACAAGTTCCGCCGCTCCCTGGAGCCACACGTTAACTCGAAGCCTGATGGCCCACGGCGGACCGCCCTAAAGCCCGCAGGAAATCTACTGGTCGGCATCTCCAGCGGGCTCGGATCATCGGTGCTGCTGGACCTGGTGCATCAGTGCTACATAGCGATGGACCAGAGCACGATGCCAGCAGATGGAGGCACGCAGCACTCGCGCCATGAGCGGGTGTGGAAGAAGGTTGCCACGTGTTATATGGAGGTCTGCGATGCGTTCCCGGAGGTGAGTCGTGCGCGCCCGCTGTGCACATCTATCTGTGATCGATGTGGACGTTATGGCTGATTTGGTAGGTGGAGGATCGCACGGCTGACGTCGAGCAGCTTGTTGAGAGATATAGTGAGATTGAGTTCATACCGTTGCGATTGCAGGATGCCTTTGATCACAGATGGTGGGAGCGGATACAGTATAAGGTGGAGTCGATCAATGCTGCCGTTGACTTGAGGGATGAAGGTAGGCAGTGCCGCTTCTTAAGACCTGCGTACGCTCAAGAAGTTGCTTGTGCTAGAGCTCCTTTTGGTGCCGCACTTGGCGTCCATGTCCTCGACTGAGGACCATTGCAAGCGCTACGCATCTATCTCGCATCTCTGCCCACAGCTACAACCATATCAAGCACTGTGAAGACCATCACGCGCCTTCTTTTGCAATTCACAGCATGGGAGACAGGCTCTTCTCACCTTGTCCTTGGGACGTCTCTCACTAGCCTAGCAATGTCTCTCATATCGAGCATCTCGCAAGGCGCTGGTTTCAATATAAAGGAGGAGATGCAGGAGGAGTGGGCGTGGGACAGCAGGGCGCGAGATGAGGCTGGAAGGAAGCGGACTGTCAGTGTGATCAGGTCATTGCGCGATGTGGGCAGGAAAGAGTGTGCGATGTGGGCGTGGTGGATGGGTTTGAGGATTGCTGAACAGGCGCCGTGGCCTTGGTTGAGTTCTAGACAAGATATCGGCACAGTGACGCGAGGTCTGTATGACTCCAATTAGACTCGAGTGCTCTGCTCATGGTCCTCTTGTGCAGATTTCATTGGTGGGCTTGAGAGGGACTATCCATCGACCGTGTCGACCATTGTTAGGACATGTACGAAGGTGGCCCCGAAGGGCGAATCCTCTGGGATTTGTATCCTATGTGCACGGTAGGAATTCTCTCCTGTTTTTTTCCTTATGTATCGATCACTCATAACAATTCTAGACCCATTCATACAGGCGTTCAAGAGTGGAAGTCGTGAATATCGATTCGATCGCGCTCTCAATGATCCGATCCGCACGAAATGGAAAAGGCACCGTCTTTGACGCCGTTTTTATGCTATGCTTGCCATACAACACTCACCAGCAAGAGCAGTCGATCTACTCCGTCGCTCAACCCCTCGATAGCGAAGCCCTCTGCGGCGCCACTGCCGACATGGTTGGGGCCTCAACTCTCCCAGCACGACGAGGTATTCAGAGCTGCCAGGATGGGGAAGGAGAGAATGCGGGACGTTGTGCAGGACTTCTTGCTTGACAATGGGCAGACGTATGATCAGGTACAGTGGGAGACTAGATGAGGTCATAGGCACTCCCTTCAGAGTCATTTCCACAGTCGGGATTTGTTGGATGATCTTCATGGAAGCATCTGCATGTAATACACTGGCTGATTGGTCAATAAGAGGTTATGGACGCGCCTCGAAGGCAATGTCACGAACCCCATCTCCCGCATCAAAAATCAAACCAGCAGCTGGGCTACTTGGGCTGACGGACCTCAGAACGTTCAACCGATAAGACACCTGATATTGATCTGTATATGCATCCAAGTGACTTTTACGAATTTGGCGAACTCCACGGCAAGCCACGGAGCATCGGGAGCATATAAAAGGGCCTGCTCTCTCTCCATCGATTCTCTGCCGCAAACTTCCACCACCACCCGACTCGGACTTGTCTGAATCCCATAGCATCTCTGCACACTGCCCTGCTGGACGACCATGGCTCCCAACCCACAATGCACTGCGCTCGCCGCCGCCAAGGACAAGAAAGGTGTCGTCCAATAGGACTCGCGCTATTGGGGACGCACTAACCGTCGGCGTTGACGATCGATCAGGCATTTTCGTACTCAGAGATCGCGTCCAAGCTGTACCTCTCCGAGCAGCGGATTATTGACAGTGCGTGTCGTGTCTCTTATTGTCAGGTGCTTCAACTCATTGACCACGCAGTCTGCACTGGTGCGGCCGTGCCCACGACCGGCGAGTTCGACTCCCTCGCCCAGATTCTCGACATCAAGTCGCCGGTGAGTATCACAGCGTTGTGACCATCGGACATACACACTGACCAGATCCTGGACACTCAGCCGCCTCACGACTCTGCTCACGTTCGTATGAGGGTGTAGTGCGATGTGACCAGCTCGCCGCTAACAATTGAAAAACGCATGGCTCTATGTTGTTACAAAGCGTCATTTATAACCACGCTGTTCAGCGATGGAAGCCCGCGGAACAGTGGTTCGAGATCGTCGTCACGAAACTGCCAGCGGTCTATCCAGAGCTCTGTAATACAAGTCGCAGGTAGCAGGCTTAGGAGGAACTCCACCCATCCATTGCGCCGCTGAGCGACGGTCAACGACGGCTCCACCTCCCAATCGACGTGGAACGCAGACGAAGAGCCGGCCGCAGTGACGAAGAATGCGATGGTACCATCCGTACCGGCGATGGCGAGCGACAGCCTTGTGAGCCCCGCGAGCAGAGGAAGAGTGCTCATCGACTCAGAGCGGAGGAACGCGAGGTCGGAGATGGGCCCGCGCTCGATGTCAAAAAGGTACAGCTCCATGGATGTGGGGAGGCGCGCCGAGATAAAGTTCGACCCGAATGCGGCGGGCACGTCAGCAACGGCGAGACGGCGAAGGCGCGGGAAGTCCAGAACTGAGGGTCGGCATCTGCGCCCCTGCGCCTGAGCAGGTAAACGAGGGTAAGATCTTCCAGGTTGGGAGTGCCCGAGAGGAACTCAAATAGACTTCTTAAGGTCCCAACGAATTGATGGGTGATGTATAGGCACGTGAGTGTTGAGAAGCGATTCGTGGAGCCATGGCACGGACTGAAGAATCAGTATCCTGAGGAGCGGTGCGTGGTCCTGGAAGAAAACAGGCTGTGTAACCTTGGTCGGGACGGACGGGTTTACACGGGACAGTTTGAGCTCGAGCACTTCCAGCTGCTCCGCGGAGAACTGCAGGCAGCCCAGGACGCTGTTGTCGTCTTCAATGTGCGTCGTGTGGCCGTACAAGGACCGGATGCGGTACATATCGGTATGCAGAGCATGCCAGATTGCCTGGTCGGGTGGAAGCTGGATACAGGGATCGAGTGTAATATCCCGAGAGCGCGCTAGGCGCGTGGAGATTGCTAGCGGATGGGAGGCGCCTGGGACGGAGGACCAGAGCTGCGGCATTGCCAATGCTACCGCTCGCCAATGGCGGCAGACATGCGATAATGCTAATGAGACGTGGGTGGATTGCGAGAAGCATAGCCATGTGTGTTCTTTCGTTTCGTGCGCAGAAGGACGAAAGACGGAAAGTAGACACGTAAAAATCTCTCCAAGGAGCTCTGGCGGGAGGCGGTTTATCTGAGCGATCCCTGCGACCGGTCTTATAGGACTGGGAGGATTGAATACTGTGTCATGTCCCAGAGGCTGTGAATGAATGCTGCTTGAGCAATCAGCATACATAAATATGATTACTAGATTACTTACAGGTTGGAGGGGCGTGCTGGATTTTCGGGTTGGCATGAATTCTTTTGATACACTTCAAGGTATGAGCTGCATGCACCACGTGTGAGTAGGTGCACTGCACAGGTCGTAACTGACATGGGTCACCAGGTGCTGTGAAACCCATCAGTCGGGAAAGCTGATCAATGAACGGGATTCTTGCACTGTGTATTTATAGCCGGGGATCGGGCGCTGTAAATTCGCTGATGCTCAGAGACTTCATCAATTGCATGAAAGCTTGGACAAGCGGAGCATTCCTGATCCTCGGCTCATGCAATGTCGTAGGGATCGGACAGAGGTTTAGCAGAGCGCGGTTGCTCCAGACCATTTGATACGGACAAGCACGAATGAGGGAGCAATTGGGAGCAATTGGAGACCCATACTGCATAATGAACAATGTTAGCGTTGTCATTGGAGGCCGCCGTTAAGGATCTCGGAGAACGCTCGTCGGCGAAAGGTCCGCTTTGACATGTTTATTGATGATAGCGCGGCCACCGCGTGTATTCATCCGCTCATGTTCGATCTCCGATCGGCTGTCTCCGTGAGCCATGAGCATGCACGAATAGCACGAACCATACCTCGTGGCAGTCTGCGATACCCCAATTTCACTGCAGTTGTCACATCCATCTACAAAGGCATGGGCGCAATGGATCTCCTTGAAATGATTATAGGGGTTTCAATAGGGGTTGCACGTCAAACCATCGCAATGCATGGATTACGATGTATGGTGTCCGACTTGGGTGATGCGTTATCCGCTTTCAAAGAAGATTGGAGGGCATCTTGGAAGGCTGCTCAAAAAGCTACATTCACTGCTCAATGCCTTCATCATTTTCCGCCCATCCAGACCAACATCCCCCCAGTAAGTAATATTTTACAAATTATCCAAATCATCCAAACCATTCATGGCTTATGCTTATGCATCTATCTAGGGAGCAACCCCCACACCCCACATCTGGACAATTACTGCCGACAACCACAACATTGCAACCTGGGTGTGGCGTACCGAAGACACATGGATGAGGAAATGTAGCAGGTCATTCCCTTCATTCAAATTCCACATCGGATACCCTGTCTTTTGGTTCCGTGGACGGCTAGTCCCTGTAAAGCAAACAAGTCCAATGTCTATTCCATCTGTTTCCCCTTCCCCAACGACAGCCGAGTCCTCCATAAGTGAGTCAGGTTTCTGTCTCGCAATATTAATTGGTGTGGGTTTGGGTGTGGCGGCAGTGGTGATGGGAATCCGAGCGCAGCGTATGTTGGCATCACGCTCAGCCCGGGTGGGACAAGCTGCTATCGATGATCGCGCACCAACACCGAGCCCGATGGAGCGCTCCCGCCCACCGTCAACATTTCCAGGACGCTTTCATGCAGTGTCTCTTCCGGTCATGCAACCGCCTCCACCAAAACCGAGGGATTCCCAGGAAGTCCAAGACAAGTACAGGAGACTCGAGCAAAAGTACTTCGAACTCGAAGAAGTGAGTCATCGCACCCTCGAACGTGTAGATGGATCTACATTCGCATAATCCGGTGTGCTAATGAATGTTCATTTCGTTTGTGATCTGCGCTGGCGATAGAAACACAAAGAGACCCTCATTCAGCTCAATAATTTAGGTGAACAAAATGTAAAATGGAGATCAGAGCGAGCGTGGGTATTCTTATATGCAACTTTCGATCGTGTAGCCTGACTGGACGTCCGGCCAGGTCGCTGCTTGATCGGATTGCGGAACTCGAGGGCAATCCCCAGGTCAATCCGGGAGCACCGATCCCTGCACCTCCGTTTTCTGCCTTTCCTCGCTCACTCCTCTCAGCCCACAACCAGAAGCTCTCCATCAACAACCTCCGACAAGCTATCGATAAGGTTGAGCGCGAAGATTCTGACGTCGACCCTTTCGTCCTCTCACGTCATATAGGGCCCGAGGCGCGAAAAGGCCAAGAGGCCGAGCTCAAGGAGAAACAGGAGGAGGAGGCGAGGGAGGTGCGGAGAGCGACACGAAAGGAGCTCAAGGTCGCACAGAAGAGCAAAGATATTGGTACGCCGTTGACGTTCGCACTCCAGCAGCCCAATGCGTCCGTGTTGGTGTCGAGTTCGGGCACACGATCACGACTCGAACCTCCGGCACCTCTTTCAGGAGACGCTGAGCCGGCATCTGCATTATCGTCTGGCATCACGCTCAACTCAGATGAGGCAAGTCTACGATTGCAGGCGAATACCGAGTCTGATGGAGCGCTCTCACCCGCCGTCAATGTCGCATGGATGCATCCGTGCAGTATCACTGCTGTGGATCCCATCACCCCCGTGGAGTTCCCCGTCCACTCGCACAGGACCATTGCCCCTAAGGGCCATTGTGACTACCGTCCGACGTCTCTACCGGCCACGCCTCCGTCTCTTGGTTCAGTTTCACCAGATGGCGCCACAAAGACGTGACTCCTCATGTGTCTTTCTTTTCACTCACTCTCCCTCGCCTGTCCCCCCCTGCATCTCGTCCGTTTTCACTTCTCCACCAATAAGAGTGCCTGCACGCTCGGTCGCAGTCAGTGCAAATTACGAAATTCTACCGTCTCATGCAAGACGGCTGACCTCGCAAGTGCAGGCATGCTCCTCGCCTGCACTATTCCTGCAAGTCGACCATCTACTTCCAATCCCGCTGGCTTGGGTGTGGCCATCGACGCTGATCTTGAGAGCCAGGTCGTTTATCGTTTATTTCGCCCAGGGCGACGCTCCAGTTCTGGATACTGAGCTTGTCGGCATGTCATTGCTCTCATAATTTGAGTTGCGGTGCATCAGACCGGCGAGACTCCGTCGATATCACAAATAAAGTCTTCTAATTTTTCACGTCGTCAAGTCCGTTGCAATCACCTCAGGCAATCAGTTTACGCAACAACAGAATAATTTATCATCATTGGAGAAACAAAATGCGGGCTCGGTGGGTGCTATTCTATCTCCAGCTATTCATTTCATGACACTGATTATCAAAATTCTGGCTTTCTGGCTATTATGCATGTTGCACAGCATGCTCCACTTGCGCTAGAGACCAAAATTACCGTTGTGCAGCCGTCTGATTTACCAAGGGTTTGAAAATTGGTCCATACTTCGGTGTTCGGCTTGTCCGAGCGCCATTGCCGTCCACGTCGTCCATTGAGTGTAAGCTATCCATCGAATTCTGTCCATACTTGAGTTCTGACAAGCGAGTCGGTCGTATCCTAGTATGCCAAGCCATCGATTTGAACACCAGTTCAGTCCACGTGACAAAGTTTGCCCACTGTTGGCGCCCAGCCAGGCCAATCTGATGTTCACTCATAAGCTGTTGGTGGATCTATATCGCCAAAATATCCTAGGCAACTTGTCATGAAGATTTTGCTGACAGAGCTTCTGTAAAGCCTGCGGACGTGAGCGCCGGCAAATTTTAAGTTACTGACGAAGTTGCGTGCGCAAGTAGCCAAGCGCACTGCTCGCGTGAGTGAATCGTCGTGCATTCGTCATGCTTCGCTTCCTCAGCTGGTTGCATGTTGGTATAGGTCGCTGGTCAAGACGTCGCGTTCTGCGCCTCTCCCATACGGTCGTCAATGCTGAGCCAAGACCGTCGATAAGCGGAAAAGGCAAGATTCCGATGCTGAACCTCATCTTGCAACAAAGTCAACCCATACGATAGAGCCTACGTCCAAGAAACAGCGCGTCAATTTGGTGAGTGAACCGTGTTGAACCGAACCATTCACCACGCCGACTCCATATGTAAAGCCTGTCCACTCCCTTGCCCAGCATCGAGCGCAGTCGTAACCGTCGCATCTTAGAAGGTCTTGTAAGGTGAGATTGCTCGCAGCGGACAATCCTCGCTACCGACTCAACGTCTTGCCGCCATCAAGTACAATTTTAATCTAGCCACTGCACGAGAACAATGCAGCATGAACTATGACGTCGACAACCTCACAAGCTCTGCCAAGCGTTCTTCGATCATTACCATCAACCCCTCACCTTCTCGCCTCAACGTCACGTTCTTCTAGCAGTCAGCTGCGTATCACTTTCTCCTCTTCGACGTCGAGTCTGCCACCAAGACAGGTAAATGTTCACTCGTCCCGTCTTCAATTGTACCGTGCACTGCCCGTTGCGTTCGTATACCAGCGATTTGAGCCGTGCTTCCACCTTCAGTACTGCCCTGCCCTCAGTCGATCATCCCTTCCACGTCGTCATCCAGCATACTTGATATCATACCGGCCAATGCAAGCTTTTATCATCAAAAAACACCGTCATGTTTCCCGCTCACCAACATTCCCCACCAGAGCCTCTTCAAGCCGGTCAGCACGGATAGGTGTGTGCCCAAGCGCTCTCATGTGCACTTTCACCAAATTGATCTTCACCTGCCGCGACAAGACAGCCTGGCGTGGTAGCGCCTCTCGCGTCATGGACGCGAGAGTTGAGGCTGTTATGCCTGTGGCGAGTTTTCAATGTGCAGGTCGAAGCCATCAAAGTGGACTATGATAGCAAACGACGCGCTTCAAGATCTAGCTGTGCGCATACACCTCGAGAATGTCCCGATGCTAGCTCCACTTCCAGACTTATGCTGATTCTGTCAGGATGCTGTGCTGCAAAGTAGCGCCTTTCACGACGATTGTGACTCGAGAGTCGAAGCTCTTTGCCACATTCCTTGCATGAACCCGAGTTTTCAGCCGCGGACTAGCAAATCGGACCAGATCATTGAATGAAGTCCATACCCTCCAAATGCTAAGAACACCCTCCCCCCAGGATCGTAAGTCGACTACGCACGTCGCACAGCAAGGTAGCGCCTCTCGCGTCTGACGTGGGAGTTGACGCTCTTACGCCGCTGCGAGTCTGCCAAACAACACGTTGCGAGGTAGCGCCTCTCGCGTTCTCGACGCGGGAGTTGACGCTCCTACGCATGTTGTGATTCTGGCACTCACGGAAATTTCAACCGCAGTCGACAATCGACATGCTTTACGAGATTATTGTGCTGCACGTAGCGCCTCACGCGCTCATCAGGCGCGTGAGTTGATGCTCTTCGCAGGTCATACGTTTTTCGTAAAGAGTGGCCACCCATTGGGGACATTGTCAAGGGGGTGAAAAGCAACATCGACTTCGAAGATCGCACAGCTGTGATATCTGGTGAAATCTGGCGTGCATGTGCAGGTGCAGGATCAGTCATGATCACGAGCATCGATTTGGGGCTCTGGTACCTAAAAGGACTCCGCTGTCGGCTGAAATTTACGTGGTGAGCAGTCTTCGTAGATTTGAATGGAGATTGGTTGCTGACCACTCCTCAGGGCTTTGCATCATCTTGTAATCTCAAGACTGGCAGGTGGGCTGTTATTGGATTTCGCGTCTCTTGCGACTCGACGGCTTTGTGGAATAGTGGCTGGTGGTCAACATCGTGAGTAATTTCACCATTTTAGAGCCCACAATCCGTTGTTGATACGTTCACCAGGTGGAACTTTATCGTGTGCATTAAGGCGGGCTTATGCGCTACCCTCGGACTTCGTGTCTCGCGGTTCGGCTATTTCATCGACTAGCGGCTGATATGTTATTTGGTGCGTCATTTCATTGTGTAAACGTTGTTGTTATCGCTGACTTGCTCCGAAGGCCTGACATCTTGTTAATCTTGGCTGCGGTTCTCCCATCGACGTGTACGGCAACACGTCGCGACAGCGACGTTTCTGAGCACAACGGTCTTGTTATCATCGACAGCATTCTCGCATCACATCACTGCATCTACAGCATAACTTATTTCGGCTATCTCGGCGCTCTCATCGTATTTTCTCATCGTCCTGCTCTTTCGCTATCTCATCATCCTGCTCTCGCGCTATCTCGTCGTCCTGCTCCCACGCTCTCGTCTCATCTTGCTGTCGTGCTCTCGTCTATGCTCTTGGCTATAACGGTTTCGGCTTATATTTATATGCAAAACAGTCCATTTCTCTTATTTATCCGCTCTGGGATCCCTGGCCCGGGAATCCAGAGCGTGCAACATGCAAACAAACGCAGACGTTTCAGCTTCGGACGAAGCTCTGGACGCAGGGAACACGAAGCATATCGCGGAACGTCAAACCATTCGACTTTGGAAACCCCGGACGAGGGGAATTCAGAGGCGGATGGGAAACGATAAACATTCGCTCCAGAGGACCCTCCACAGGAGAATCTGGGGCACCGAAATGTTTCAACGTCCTGCTGTGGTGACCCCGGACGCGGGAGATCTAGGCAGGGCAGGGATCATCCCAGCTCTGGGAACCCTAGATGGGTTGTCCAGGGTGGGTTCTCCGGGGTACCCTGAACAGACGGGGGATCCGGAGGGGAGGGTTGCAATGTGTGGATGTGGAGGGTAACGTCAAGAGGGTGTTAAGGGCAACTGGCGGAACAAAGGGTTCCGGGAAATTGGTTTTTTTTCTGTTTCTTTTTTTCTGTTTCTTTATCTCTTCTCAGTGACCTTGCTTACATCTCCCCTCGCAGCTCCTCAAGCTCAAGGTCCAGCGTAGTGTAGTTGTAGTGTAGTTGTAGTGTAGTGTAGTCATAAAGATACGCACCGTCAGTGTATGCAGATTACTGTAGCCTTACCGTAGACGTACCATAGCCATAGCGTACCGTACCGTACTTCGTCTCTCGTCTCATACTTACGGCAGTGGCTCTCGTACTATACCCATCGCATAGAATAACTGCTAGATACGATACCTATTAGACATGATACCTAATAGACACGATAGCTGTTGCATACTATACCCGCATATGTACTTGCTACTGTACCGTACCGTACGTGCATTTCGCCCGCCTCTCGCACTTGTACCGTAGCGTAGCGTACCGCATAGCTTACTATACCGTAGAAATACATACGTTCTCGCACTTGTACCGTAGTGTAGTGTAATACATAGCTTACCACTATACCGTAGTGTACAGAATAAATTACATACATTTTTACTAGAGAAGTCCTGCATGAATCTATGGGAGTCGGAGGAGGTGATCATGGATGCTTGACCTCGCTGGCATTTTCAACTAGCTCAATGTCGCGTGTGTCATTCGCACGGTTTGGATCAGATTGATTTCGCACAAGTTCCGAACATGGGCGGTAGGCATACCACGGTCGAGTGGAGGTATCGCACGAATTTGAATGCGCGCATTACGGGCTTGAAGCAGGCTGTGCCGGCGCTCCGTGTGCTGGAGGCCAAGGTGAACAGCCAGGAGAATCCATTCAACGATGTCGTCGACTCGCGTGGGTTCGTTGATGGCGTGAAGGTCACGCGCAAGATGAGTAAGGCGAATGTGCTCGGGAAGGCAGCAGAGTATATCAAGTAGGTGGTGACTCCTTCTATATCTGGTCGAATACTTGAACAACTGTTACACCAGGGTACTCAAGAAGCGCGAGACGCGTCTCAAGCACGAGCAGGATGGCCTGAAGTCGCTTATCGCCGGGCTCGTCGGGGGACCGGCGCTGCTCAAAGAGTGGGATCGCGAGTGGAAGGAGCGATTCGGCGGAGAGGAGAAGGATGAGATCGAGGATGAGAGCGCAGGTGCGGTGAGTGATGATGAGGATGTTGATGGTGACGATAGCGAAGGAGAGGACGGTGAGGAGGGTAGGGCGCGCAAGAAGGCGAAGGTCGCAAAAGTCGCGCTGCGCCGCAACCACAGCTGGCAGTTCCCGCTGTTCCTGGCACTGTACCAGAGAAGCGTAAGCGTGATAGGCCACGCAAGGTCCCATTGCCTCCTGCTGTCGCTCCAGCACCAGCTGAAGACGGCAACAGCGACACCCGTGGCAGCGACACAGAATGCAGCTCCAATCTTCCCTGTTGACGCGCAGATGCCAGATACCTTCGTCCAGACCTCATCTGACAGTCAGACACAGCAAACACCTGCCCAGCAGTACCTGCTTGCGGCGTTTGCATTCTTCTCGGTATTCAACTCTCCATTGGCATCTTCTCGTCCTCATGCACACCCGGCGCACGAACATCATGGCACGGTGTTGACGCCTCAAGTGCGACCACAGGCGGAGTTTTCTATCTATCTGACTACCTCATCCGCAAGCGGGCTTGGGCTGCATGAGCTCGTGCAAGCAGCACATTTTCTTGTGTCAACGCTCGTCTTCTTGTACGTGATCCTGCCTTGGATCTCGAGCACCCTCAAGCGCGCACCTGCACTCGCATCGTACGTCACGCACCTCAGAACGTCGTGCACGACCGCAGAGACCTCTGCGACATTCGCGAACAACGTGCATATGTCCAAGGCTAGGAATCAGCAGCGCGCTGCGTTGATGGAGGCATTCTTGGATGCGCTAGACCCGGCCAGGAGAGGCTCAGCAGACGAGACCGAACGGCTGCGCAGAGCTTTGGGTGTGACCGATGGGGTCCTCGGGCTGATGCACGGCGTCATCAAGGCGGGAAGAGTGGATTGGGGCATTGAGCTGAACCAGCTTGAACAACGCGCTTGTGTCAGATTGGGCGAGCTTGTTGCATTCAATGGTATGTAACCCACTCGCTCTACAATCGTCGGGATATCACAACTTTTCCCGAATTGTAGACAAGGTCGGCAAGGCCACTCGGCTGCAGATGTACTGGTGTATGTCGTGGCACATGATGCATCTCCACCTTTGCCACTTCGAGAATGGACCTATCCACGCTTGCGCTCATCATGCGTCCCGTGTCATTGTCGAAGGCTGCGACGCTGTGGGAGGCAGCTCACAAGCGCGAGTTCCTGTGCCCCTATGAGAAGATTGTGCTGGATAATAAGAGCGTGGACGTCGCGGCTGACTGGCTCACGAAACGGCAACGCTGGCATGAGACGGAGCGCAAGGGCCGCTGTGCAGCTTGCGAGAAGCACACACCGCTTGATGTCCTTGCGGCGATCCTCATCCGGGAGCGCCTCCGCAAGCACGCCGCTTCGCTGTTTGTGCGTACCGTTGTACAGAACGACCCTCGGGCGTGTGTAGCGGACGAGTGTGTGGGTATGTCCATGAACGGCTGAGCATTGTCATGCTCTAAGCACCCGCCTCTTCAGATTGTGTGCGGAGGGACCAAGTTGGAGGGCGATTGGTAAATGGGCCTGCTCGAAGCAGGATAATCACTTAACGCTCTTCCGTCAGGTACCCAACGTCAAGGTCTGAAACTACAGAATATATCTTGCAGCGCTGCCTGGCCCTCTGTCCAGAACTTGCACCACCCGAAGTTAGGGCCCAACGCGCACCGACTGTGGATGACCTGCGGGCTTTGATTATTGAGGTTGGAGTTGGCCTGCGCCCAGCCAGGAAGAGCGGTCTCAGACTCGAGACGATTTGGGTTTCGGCCTCGGAGGATGGTCGCAAGCTTCCAGCGTTTCTCAACTATGGGTGGGTACCGTTGCCCGTGGCATTGTCCTTGGCTGAGACCCGTATATTAGGCATAGCGGTTCTGGGTTCCAGTCGTCCTGGGGATCGGCGATAATCGCTCTGGACTTGTTGGAGGAGGCGCTGAGAAGCTCATGAACGAATCCGGAATGCAGTCGGAAGTTAGACCGGCACAGCCTGCATAGATTTATTTTTCCACGGGAAACCTGATGCAAAAATGGTGAAAATATCTTATATCTGGATATGGAAATAGTTTGGAAATTGGGCGGAGACAATTAAATTATGTTACGATCGTTTTACCGAAACGTATCAGCAATAGTGAAACTATTTCCTAAATGAAGATATTTCAGTCCAAAAATATGTGATACCGATATGTTTCGGTGAAACAATTGTAACATAATTCAATTGTCTCCGCCCGATTTCCAAACTACTTCCATATCCAGACTTAAGATATTTTCACCATTTTTTCATCAGGTTTCCCGTGGAAAAATAAATCTGTGCAGGCTGTGCGGGAAATGCAAGATAGTCCACCGAGACTCGATTGGGCGAACGTTTCCCATTCTACGGCCTGTCCTATAGCTTCTTGATACTGTTGTTGTGTGATCTCACAAGTAAGCAGCGGTGGCTGATGCCCGTCACGCCTGCACCTCAGTGTTTTCTTAATCTAAAGCATGCCGGCTTACCAACAAACCCGGACTTTTGATAATGTGAGTGGACTCTATGTGAGGAATCTTCTTTACACAAAGTGGAGGATATGGTCAATAGGATCGTTATAGATTTAAGGGCATCCATCGGCAATCAGCCACTTTTGAGAACGCGGGCGCAGTTATTGTCCTTGCACAACTTCGCGACCAGTCATCCGATCAGCTATCTCAGTGATATCGAGGGTCTTTGTGACCGTGCGACAATCATTAATAGTATTTTTTTTAATATTTAAGCTGAATGGACTTGGGCTCTAGAGATGATTTGCAGATTAGGACCGTTCTGCAGATTAGGGTGAGCCATACTATTCTGAACCAGATGGCCGTTCGGATATCTTGCTCGCCTTGTTTTCCCCGGTGCAGGAAGTTATCTGAAGATATAATTATTGTGCCATTACCAACTTGAACCTGTATCTCGGAGCGTCCAGCCCTTTGACTTCTTCTTCGCTGACTCAACTTCTCGACTTCTCGGAGCTGTTCACATCAGAATCTCAGAGACTATGGATTCCACCGGGGGTTCAAATGCTTTCTTCCGGACACTATTCCCGCCGTGCGGCTGTAGCTAACGCTGAGAGTCGGATATCGAGACTCGGTTGTAGTCCCTCGACCCAATCCCCAGTAATCCCTAGAAGCCCTCAAGGACCATTAATATAAGGGCTTTAGAGGATCCTTCATTTGTACCTGACCCCTACTCCCTTTGGCGCTCCTTGATCCATGTGGCCGTTCACGACAACCAATCTGTACCAGCATCCACTGCCTACCCTCAAGGTGCAGTATGATGACATTGTTGTTGGTGGTAGGGGTGTCTGTATCGCTAGATGTCATGTAGGGATTTACATTCATTCTCAGGAGGCACCAGTGGATGCGTTATGGCACGTCGACTCACAGAAGATAATAAGAGCAATGTCCTGCTCATCGAGAGAGGAGACGCTGGGGACTCGTGAGCATTATTTCTACAGGCTTTTATAACACGTGCCGACATGCTGGGCTTGGGCAGATGGCTTCACCGGACGTCTTTAACCTCTGGACACTTCTTCTCGGATTGGGAGCACAGCATGGTGCGCGACAGCATCCATGACGGTTCCCTCTCATTACCGGATTAGACTTAGATGGTACGAGCCGCATCAACGGCGGTCAATACACCTGTGGCGTGCCAGCACAGTCCAGCTTGTGGGCTTAGGAAGGAAGGGTCGGGTGATCGTATGTCGATATCAAGCCCTATCTTCATAAGTCCGAGCACCTTGCTGACTTGGCGTCAGTCGGGAAGGTCTCTGCGACAATGGTGACCTTGAATCCGCCTTTCTCTTGTATCTTGACCACGGTGGTGAGACCTACAACCCCTAAAGTTGACGTATAGTCAGTCTTCAGTTTTGAAAAAATATATCAAACGTGCAAGGGCAAGACGTACCGGCACCAATGACAACGATGTTCTTCATAGGCGTAGGCGATGACATGGCTGTACTTCGCAACTACCATCGTTATCAGCCTTTTTATCATCATTCGTAGGCGATTATCGCTGGGTCGATATATATGGACACAAAACAATTCGCTGCTTGAAATGCTAGCCTCTCATCCTTATATGTGCGTTACAAACTCTTGGCGAGAAAGCGGGGTTTCAACAACTGCAGCACGAAGTCCCTCCAAGCTTCTTCATAGCCCTGATATCTGCTCGAGGCGACCCTCGGATGTGTACATGAACCACTTGATATCTAACAGAGGTGCGAGGCTTCGTGCCACGGCGCTGGGTCAAATCGATGTGGTGCCACAAAGTTCTGACTCTTGCCAAAAACGTCGCATTGGGAAGGGCAATCACACCATCAGTGGCACCTGCCTAATAAAGCACCTTGCCGCGTGTGCCAACACAAGCCATTGTCGGAGTTGCGCGGCAAGATGTGACTATATATGTGGCGACGTGACGTCGATTTCGGCAACCTCTCACTTGGAAGTTCTCCGACAGGCTGGCCTTTTGGCCTTTTGGTGAGCTTTGAATTATATATCTAGTTCTAAATGTTTGTGCACACATTGCTAAGATCCGAAGTGATAATGTCCAAGAACTCGAATTGTTGTACATGATCTACGAGATATATTTTGCTGAATGGGACCAGCCATAGTATCACTCGAGAAGATGTGTGAATGGACCAACTCTTCCTCGTGAGTGTCCCCGCTCGTTCGCCTCTGTCATCGGTGCTGGCGCCCACTCAGCTGGAGAAGCTCCTCACCATCATGGCCTGCTCTCCCGACGACCGTGCGTGCCCAGCGCATTCATTCCTGCTCATGCTCTAATTGACACACACCCGCTACAGTCTACAAGGATTTCCCGCACCTGCTCGCCTGCTTCCTCTCTGTCCTTGCCAGCGCTCCACCCTTGATGCCGTCCCTGCGCCGGAATGTCAACCTACGCGAACCGCAATGAGGACGGGAGCAACTACAACGTCCTCTCCCCGACGCTCGGCATGGCCGGCAGTGTGGAAAATTCGCTGAACTCAGTGCCATTAGCAGCGCTCTGTACAAGGCATTCATGCGAACAAATGTTTCTCACAATGCGGTTTGATATTCGTCTGAGACTTGATACGATTTATTTTGTCTACCGGGTAAGGTGAGAGTTTCGCGCACAGACAAATGACATGAGAACACGCGCAGGCTTACCCGTACCACTGCTGATGTCACGGCCACACGAAGCGGGCTGAGTTGTAGCTTCTGCTTACTCATCTCCGTTGAGCCCCGGTTTCCCTAATAATGTATCAAGCACGGTTGTCTGTGCTGGTGTCAACCTAATGAAGATTGTGGAGATATTATTCCAGGCGCAGCTGATCTTGAAGGAAAGATCTTAATCGAGCGAATGCGAGCTCAGCGGACTATGACGTAACCCAACCATCCAATCATCCATCATTTTACCAGGTAACGGTCCATCAGTGGGCTGGAGCTGCTTTGGTAAGAGCGATGCTTCTACCCGAACCTATTCGGAGGAGCTACCATAACATACGGTTTGCCTTGGCAGGCTCGCCAGCCCTCAACAATGTCGTTGCCTACCAGCTAATTGCACAGATTACATCGGCTCAAGTCTGGTGGCATGGAGAATCATCCGGAGTTTGGCCATGCGACCCTACAATTCTTTGCAATGAAACCTGGGTATGCGAACCTAAACCATGGTCAGTGTATGTCGTCCAATTGATCATGCCTAGCTGCTGAATACCTACAGGTACGGCGGGCGTATACCGCGGCGTGTCGAGGATGCGAGCCGAACCCAGACCACTTCATCTGAGTCCACATGCTGAATCTTGTCCAGAACTTGATTATCATATATATTCTTCAATGTAATGAGCAGTAAAGTGGATGAGCTCATTTGTTCCACAGACGTTAGGGCCTTTTGGTTGGTTCTACTACCTTGTCAACTATCTCTTTTTTGCAGCTCTACGGTTCCCTTGAACATGTTACCATACTTGGCACGATCTACCGCTCCATCAATCAGATGCTAGTGAATGAGGAGTGACTGCTCAAGCTGTTCAATGAACTGACCGATGTCAAGGACAAGCACAACGCGCCGCTTCTCATCGTGGCTAATGGCGAGATTGAATTCGGTCGGTGGTTGCTTTTCGTATCGTCAACAGCGATGATCATTGATGTCATCTGCTACTCACCATAGATAATCAGCTTCTCGTATGACGGGCATACACCTGCACTCAGTGATGTATCGTTCAAGGTTCCGAAGGGCTCATCTGTTGCGCTTGTGGGCGAGTCGGGTGCGGGGCAGGTCAACGATCCTGCGCTTGATGCATCGGATCTACGACTTGCAAGACAACGGATGCCGTATTCTGATTGATGGGCAGGATGAAGATGGTTATCATGCGTCATTTCCGCAGCCTCCGACGCGCGCAGACGTGTGCGTTCAAGTTATTCAGGGAGAACGCATCACAGCCGATGATCGTTGTGTAAGAGACTGTCACGTTACACTCATTGTGCACCCGTTATCATATCCTGTCTACTGTAGGGCTAGTGGTTGTGTGACAAGACAGCTGTCTCTGCTCCGGTCTGCGTATCCGAGTTGTCACCAGTTCAAAAACAGACTGCGTGTGAGGGAGCCTCTACAACTAATACTTCAGGCTCGATATGCCGGTCTGCAGTCTTCCGTGTCACCCAGTTTGGATTCCCAGATCTCCCAAGAATAAGAACCATATGCTTAAGCATAGGATGCTTCTGCTGCATTGCATTGGCAACCATCTGCCAAGCCTGCTGGGCATCAACGATCCAGATTTGGACGCAAACTGGTCTTGCATCATTTTCACTCTCTATGCGATGAATGAAAAGAGTACCAGGCTTGAGGACAGTCCCAGGGCGAATGCGATTCGGAAAAGAGATAGGCTTGTTACCAACGCTGGAGAACCAAATGATGTGACCGCGATTTCCCCTGATTTTGCGTTTAGCGGGATCCAAGTACTATGTCGAGAAGCAATTATCACTTATTAAGCGAATGCGGATGCTACACCATCGCATACCTCAGGATCTGGACCCGGCCTTGGCCTGAGGTCTGTGACGATACTAGTATGAGATCACTTGATCACTTTCAAATGAAAGCTAAAAGACAAACCCCCATAGCATGGATAGGGATCTGGACGGTCTTGCGAGCTCGGGGCATGGCATTGGTCTGCGAATGCTCTGTGTTGGTAAATAAAATGTCTGCCTTGCGCGATCGGAAGCAAACCCGTACCAGCGGTATGTTATAATCGGCCCTCGTGAACTCTCTCTGTAACATTGAAAGCTTCAGCTTTCGTCGAGGCGTTTGATTGTGGTTGGTGGCGGGTAGTTCACATTGGATAGGACGAGAATCATCCGCCGCTCCTGTTCGGAAATGGACAAGCCATTCGGCTAAATCGAGTTTAGGTGCGACTGTCTCGGCCGGCAAAGCCATACGAGTGACGCTTCAAAATTGCCAGGATGAGTTACAGAAAGAGGTCAGTGTATCGCTTTCCGGCCTAGGTGCCGAGACATATATAGTGATGCCGTAGGTTTGCTTTTTTAAGCAGACAATAAGTCGCTATGCATTGTGTACATCGCGATCGTGCATCACGGACCGGCTCCGTATCCTTGTTCTGTGGACCTGTACAGCCTGACGTACGAGGTCTATTGCTTGTATAGTATCACATGACTCAGAATGCTTCTCCACGTCCGACCTGCACGCGGCCCACGTCCCTGCCGGCTGACCCCCGCAGAAGCGGCCTCACCACCCCAATTCCCCACACTGAAGTCGGGTATGAGTGCATTGGCGAGATGGGTGCACAGCATTCTCTGTAAGTGCGATGTCCAAGAACCCACGTGGAGCCCTGCAATGGTGGTATCAAGAACAACAACTCACTGCGATTCCACGACTCCTAGCGATATTTACGTAGCTATAAACATCATCATTACAAGGAAATCGAGGCCGAAGTACAACAGTGCATCCATAGTACTACAGGAAGATATAACCATCTCGGATGGCTGATGTCTTGCTGTCCTGCAAGATTATGACCAGATCCACAACATAAGCGATGACGGCCAAGAGCACCACTCCTGCGAAGATGTGCAGTGTAGAAATTGAATTGAACATATCCTCAGCACGATTGTAAGTTAGATGAATCGAAATTAGCGCATTCGCAGCATCCCTGCTGCATAATCTTACCGCAGAATTCTTCACGTAAAATTATCTGCAACGCACCAGTTCTTGGGCCCTTGGATATTCAAGGCCATGAAAATGACTTGGTAGCACTTCTTGGATACAAGTCGGTAAACCGCCTGTCGCATACGCTTTCGATATGATGAACAAGTAAAAGTCGTAACGATCTTACTAGAAGCCAGGAAGAAAGGCTTGTAGCTGACACACTAGGCTGTCCTTGACGATCCCTACACAAAGAGAGATGGTGCTAAACACAAACGTGATCAGTAGGACCTTCATTACGAATTGAATCATGAATCACCTCATGGTCCCGTTTATCAGCATGCGCATCCCAGTCTCCACGGGCACGACTAGCATCAGCCTGTGCTGCTTCATGCGATGTGACGGGATGAACAACCGGAGAATGCTGAACGATACGAGCTGATTCTTCCCCCTCCTGATCGCCTGGCGAGATGTTGGTGAGCAGCTGACGGTCAGAAGTGAGGATGTCAACAGGAGGGCAAGACGCAAGCACACGCACCAGTGTTGACGTCGCATCGAATTCTCGAGTTCCCACAGCACGATCAATGAAGTTGCCTGCAAGTAACTCGAGGTTTCGTCCAATAGTGACGTACTGTTCTATAAGATCCGTGAGTTGAGCCATGTTGATAACAGTGGCTTGATCCTTCAATAGCCGACTAGAACTGGATGGAACACTGGAGGGGTAAAGGCACCCGGTACAGTCACCAAGCTGCAATCTAGCTTGGCGAATAAGGTGATCTAGTCTCTCCATCGCCGATTCATCTGAAGGATCATCGTTACACTCTTCTTTCGCTCCTGTGCAGCCGACGCACCATAAGCGTGTTTGAGTACCGTCAGGATTGAGTTCATTGTCATCTCCAGCTCACCCACCCGTTCACCTAAAACTTCTGATGCGTTAGACATGGAGTCAATGTCTGCTTGTTGTCGGGCCTAGAGACCTGTAAGTGAATTAAATGAAGTGATCGGTCGCGGATTAGCATACTAGGTTTCTCTCAAACCCGTTCAAATGTCGTCTCACAGCGTGATGACGACCGTCTACTTCTTCTTCATGTTCGTTCATGCTCTGCGTGATATCATAGACTGCACAGTCTAGATCTGATATTGCGGCATCCATATTTTCTAGTCTTTTCTGGATGACACGCTCGTAGTCTGCCCGCAATATTAAGAGCGGCAGCGTAGACCAAAAGTGAGATCGTCACATACTTGAATGAGTAATGGATGATGCCCCATCCTCTCCGCATTTGCCACCGATTGCCAAGTCTTCACCATTCGTGTCGGCTGGGAGGTCAACCAGGCCTTTCAAAGAATCCTCCTCCGACTGCCATCTCACGAGAAGTAGCTGTAGCACATGAGCTGCATCATATAGAGTGTCGCCATTAGCTGGTAAGAGTTCATCCAACACACTAGCTATCGTCTCTGCATGCAAGGAACCCGAGGAGTGCTCCGTCACACTGGTCAAAAGCGCTCGAATCTCGCTAGAAGGTAAACGAAGGCTTCCAGAGTTTGCGGTAACGGTTGGCCCAAGAGTTGTCGAGAAAAGCTCCTCGAGCTTAGCCAGCAAACGATTTTCGTTGAGGTGGGCTGTGGTTGGTGACATTGTGGGGGGACAGTAGCAACGAACCGTTCTCTACGTAGAACTCCACATCGCTCGGACCGTCAATCTCGCCAGAGTCGGACTTCCTCCGAAGCAGCACCCTAGCGCCTTGCTCCTCCCTTACAGCAAGCTCGATGACAAGGCCCTCCTCAAATTACTCAAGGTCGACCGCGTACGTCTCCTTCATTCCTCGCCACTCATACATTGACTTGCGTAGCCGCCGCGTCTACCGTTGAACTGCGTCCCGGGACCGACGACGCTCTACTCGGGCTGGGTGCGCATGTCGTCTCGTACGGCGCGATAAGCAAGCAGCCGCCGATGCCTTCGACTGGCGCGCTCGTCCGGAAGGGGTCAAGGCCGAGGGATACTTCATGAGCTAGTGGGACAAGGACCATGGGCGGGAGGCGCGGGAGAGTCTATTCAAGGAGTTGATAAGGCCGAAGTTGAGTCTGCTGGTCTGTCACTTGAGTTGGCAGGACGGTGTGTGGAGACTGATATGGATGTGGATAGTTGAAGGAACCTGCGCATGAGGACGTGGTGATACCGAGGACAATGAGCCGCGATGAGGCAAGAGAGAGTGAGGGAGGTTATGAGACGCATTGCAGAGGAGAGCTATGGAAGGAAGGTGCCGTGATCCTGACGTGATCGTCGGTGTCGATGCTGTAAGGTCCCGTTCCATCCATCCATAATTGCGATCTTCACTGACGATTGCGCCTAGGTGTATGACCGGGGTCACTCGCTCCGCTTGTCCGCACGCTACCAACGGCGCTTGAAAGCGGAAAATCGATTGGAAGTGGTGATGCTGTGGCTTACATCGCGTTGACCGTGAGGAATGAAGAGACTCGAGCGCTCCTTCTGGAGACAGCTGGTATGTATAGCAGGTTTGTCTCTGCGCCGTGCTCATCATTGGTTGCGAGTAGAACAGTCATTAGAGGTTGTCGGACATCAGACGATGTTAGAGCAAGAAAAGGAGGGATTGTGTTACCGCCGCCCAGGCAATTACGACGGTGAGTAGCTCCAATACCATCGGATATGCTCTTTCACCTAGCGTTCTCTTTATATTCTACTCAGAAATGAACTCTAGGATGTCTAAAAGCGAGGCTGCCGATATTGTTAACATCGTCAAAACAATAAGTTAGTACTCGACGTTTACGTGTCGTAATGCAGCAGTCGATAATGTTTCACATGCACAATAGCGTTGCAGATCGACTTTAGCCTATTTGTCGAAATCATGGGTAGTTATAGGAGGTACAGTCTGCCCGTTATCTCAACTCTGCGGGTATTGAAGAAGCGTCACAGGGGAAAGGTGGGTTGCGGAGACCTAGACATTCTGATTACTCGACCCACGAGTGACCGGAAGACTCATCAAAGTAGAACCCACCTTCTGTCAAGCTCGCGGCCGAGACTTGCTAACCTTATAACCGAAAGGTATTCTCGCCGTCTCCTACAGGGATTACACGAGCGGGGCATTATCACAGAAAATCTGAGTCTGCCTGATGTTTTGGAACTCGTATATCGAGGGCTCTGCAGGAGATGAGATCATCGCTCATGTCGACATATGATTTCCTTACCATCCCTCACGCGTCGAGAGATGCTGCATTAGACGGTACGCTTGATCAAAGAATGGGCGTCGAACAACAGCTTATCCCGTCTGCCCCACAGGGTAATGACATTGTTAGTCCAGAAAATATGGCGTTTGCCTGGAACTTGACAGTAACTCGTATCATTGCTTCGCATGAAGGCAAACGTGATGGGGTATTCTCTCAATCAACGGGATCTATATGCCGTTATCATCCGTAATTCAAGCGACAAAAACTGAATGGCGGTCGATTGTCTTTGCAAAGAATGATTTATAACAGAAATTGATGAGGGTGTTTCACCTCTCTAAAGGCACTATTATACCGTCGGAAACTGAGCGGGAAATATTCAACATTTTAGGTAGGCTACCACGCTCTGCATCAGCTGCATCCTGCTGATCGTCATGTTGAATTCGGTGTGCCTTGGCAGGCGCCACACGAGCGGCTCTGGGGCTAGAAGGGGACATCATGCCACTGTCAAGAAGCCAGTCGGCATCGCAAAGATGCTGAAGCTGCGCCTGGCGGCAGGTTGCAGCCGAAGTTCCCGTGACTCCACACCGGCTGCCTCGTTTGTCTCGCAATGCGCATTTGATGTGATTCTGGTCTGGCCTGCATCGACAGGGCGCAGGCATCGCTGTCGCCTTTGCGGCGCAATTCCCACAGCTCGTCTCGGACAGACTCGCTCTGGTCGCGTGCAGTAAACGTGCTCACTTGCGCATTAGCCGCCCTCACATCCTCCTCATGATCGTAATTGTTCCGTGCAGTTCTATCAAACTCCGCCACCGACCATTCTGCACGGGAGCGCTTCATCGAATGGGTCAACGCCCACAAAGACGTCCACTGGTTGTGTATGGCAGATATGGCGAGAGAGTTCCGCAAACGCAACCCTCCACCAGCAGGTACTCGCATGTCTAAGGGCATGGAGATCAAGTCTTAAGCTTGACAGGGGTACGCAATATATTACCTGTTTTTCAAGTTCGTATGTATGGGATGCCACCCGCTTTTCGCTGATAAGAAAACATTTGGCCGAAGTTGCCGGCCCTTGCTGGAGAGCACTTTGGTCTCATGTCATTCCATTGTAAAGTGTTCAAAAGCCATGTATTTCATATGTCTCGTAGTCTGTCTCAACGATCCAATATCGGGTCAGGCACACGCGCCTATATATATGGTTAGCGGCACCGGAGCGAAACCGATCGCAATCTTTGATCGTGTGGTGCAATCTCCACAAACAAATACCAACGTAAATTGAGATGCCGCGTTGACTCTTGGATTCTACCTTCCGGTACTTTAATAGGCACGGCAAGAACTTTACTCCCAAGAATACTACCTCATCATTCGGGCGTCTTCTCAGAATATGTACATGTGCCAGAGTCAGTAAAATTTAGTCGAAAACCCCATAAGAAGCTTTTTTTTTGTCTTGTTCGTCTGAGGCTCTTGTGGCAAGACAAGTCGGATCTGAATGTCAATGTCTTGCCAGCCTCGGTGCGATCTCAACTTAGCATTCACATATTCACACTGTAGTACACAGCGATCACACAAGTTGGCATGCCGAGCGGTTGTCGGTCGATCGTTCTCTTACTCGTTTCATACTCAGTTCTGTATACCTTCAGCGAAGGCTTTGCGTTCACATTTGTCTCGTAAATCTTCTCTGGGGACCAGAATGAGGACAGAGGGGGGAAGTAGTGTAGGACAATCTTTATCACTGGGAACTTCGGGACGTTCGGAGTCATCGCTCTGCCAATTCGTGACTTCCGGCGAATGCCTCATGGCTGTGCTGCGAGCATATGTGTCTATATGAATCTCGTTTAGTCGATTGAGACAAGAAAAGCTCGGGTGCCGCTTTCTGCTGAGTGCACGGACTCTGGTTTATATATCTTGGAGCGAGAAACGTTTTGGGCGGGCGTTCCTGGAATCCCTACCAGTGCTCCTACCTGTGCTGCTTTGAGACCTCGTGCGAAGATGTAGACTTATCATCGTTATATTGTGGGCAGCCATATACCTCCATCTGCCAGTCCGGCATGCAATGCGCGCTGTCCTGCACCCTGCGGAAGATGCCCGCGAACTCGGGCGGTAGCACGTGGCTGTCTTTCATATATCGTCTTCGCAGTTCGCACCATCATACACCCATGCCAGGTGAGAAAGCGTACCTTTTATGCTCATGAACTGGCCGAGCTTGAGCGCGGCTGTGCGGAGTTGCGTGAGCTTCGCGACGAGGCGCTCGATATTGTCCTCGGTCATCATGAGCGAGGGTGAGCATTTCTCCTCGGAATTGGTCGAGAGACGGAGGAGCTCGGCGGCAGCACCATAGCCGAGTAAGGCAGCGAGACCTGCATTTGTCCATGCGAGTGAAATGTATGATTTGAGTGTGTTAATCGCACAAATGAGCGCATACACCCACCTCCGTAATCGAACAGACGTCCTATGCGCAACGAAGGCACCTTGGAAGACTAAAATTTGCGCACGGGAGCGTGCTTGCAACATTAGTCTCGTCAGTTGGGCCACAGGCTAGGGCGGGTTAGTAAACTTCACTCACATAAACAGAAGGCTAAGGCACCCCGATTATCAGCGACGTTTCGTGCGAGGCACCATCTGACATCATTCCTTGTCTGATGGTTTTGCCTATACCAGAAAGGGCTTTTGGCGTTGTGATTTGATGCGTGACTTGATCTGGTGAGGCTGTGGGGAAGTCTTGCGCTGTAATGGGGACAAGAGCACGCAAGGGTTGCAAAGTCGAGATCGAAGCTAATAGAGACGACCACTAATGCAGAGAGTGTTGTTCCGAATGACCCTTCATTCGGTTCGGTTTAAAGAGAGCAAGTGCAGCAGTGCTTACATAATAATGTCACTCGTTGTCCGCTCCACTTGCCGAGTGGCTGAAAGTGTGCCCCGTTTTTTGGTTGGTGGCTGATGTCTTCGTGCGGCCGTCTTGTTCGCTTCTCGCTGTCTGCTGCTTATAGTCTCACGCTGTCTCGTGCTTGGCCGTTTGTCTCGCCTGCATCTTCGTGTCCGTGCGGTTTGCCGTCGTCTCGCACGCATGTCTATAACAACTACTCAACGTTAGGAATTGACTTGCTTGCAGAGCGCAAGGGCGCCTTAGACAACCCGCAAGAAGACGGGGATGGTTTCGACCTCGCTGTGGAGCACGCTATCTCAGATCGCCCATCGAAACAAGCAAAAAGCTCTGCATCTGAAGGAAAAAAGATGCCACGTCACGCCACGGACAAGAAATTCGGCTTTGGTGGTCCTCGCAGGAGACCAAAACAATACCAGGTCCTCGACGGATAATTTTTGATTTCGGTGGGTGGTGGTGGGAAAGCTACGCGGCCAGTGAAGGAGGCTCGAAGAGCAGAGGATTTGCAAAGCGACCAGGGAAGAGCAGACGGATGGTTGCCCGTGACCGAAGATCGATTCCGCTTCATTTCGTGCTCTTCGTGGTCATGCTTGCTTGAGTTCTATCGGCAGCTCACTCCGTCCTCGTTACTACGCTTGTTGTCGCCTTTCTACCAATATTTTGTGCTTGCAATGACCGGATTGCACCCGATTCTGATACAAACAAGAGATGTGTGATTGCCGTTAGTCTAAGTCGAAGCAATCGAGATACTGAGGAAATGCAACGCAACTACTAACACTGCAGCTTTGTAGGGAAATTTCCACACTTATAATGGTGGCCGTCGGCTCGAGAAGTCCGAAGTCCGAGATCCCACAGCTCTCTCACCTGGTTCTCATCTGCATCTCTGATCGCTGCTCCTACGACATGTCGAGCTATGGTGCATCGCCACTACCTCTGAGTAGCGGGTACGCCTCTGCAGCTCCCTTGTCTATGACACCGCCTGTCCCGAAAGCTCATACACACTGCCGGAAACCTAAGCCCACTAAAATCTTCTCTAGTGACGGCTCGTTCCTAGAGCGCTTCCAGCGCCTCAAGAAGGCATGCATACGTGCATTAGCACACGTTGCTGAGCTGAACATTTTGTACAGGACGAGAAAGAGATGAAGGAACAAAGAGATATAGTCGCTAGGTTAGTTGCTATACAATGTTTGTGTATGCGAATGTTCCACGAGTCGTCTTCACAGGAAACGAACCTTTGACGAGCGATTTGTGAGTTACTTGAATGCGATGCACCATTGTCTCATTCCTCATAGATTTCTTCTCAGAAAAAAGGGGACCAGCGCCCTCCTCCTGATGCTCAGAACTCAACTGCTGCCACAGAGCCTCCGGTAAAGAAGTCACAGATGGATACACCAACGAGTGAGTTATATTACGCACAATTGTCATTTGGTCGTGTCTCACCGACCTCACAGCTCAGTATCAGAAAGAAGTCAAGAGTCACGCTGGTCGTAGCCTAAAGGATGACAGTATTGGCGTCTGACTGGCAGCTTGTCAAATAATCAAATGGACTGACAATGTTGTTTTATGGACTTTGATCCGGTGTGTTTACTTCTTTTTGCATGATCCCTCATTCGTAGAATTGCGCTGATTGCGTAGATCGGCATGGCTGTCTACTACTTTCCTTGAAAACTCCCGTAAGACACTCGTATCTTATTTTTCACCTTCGTGGCAATGCGACGATGCCATCTGCCTTAATGTTCCGGCGCATTTGCATATATTTTTGTGATGAACAACACTGCACATATTTCGCGAGTGGATGTTGAGCTGTCCGTAAGCAAGGAAACGAGTCTGCATGAACATAGTGAAGGAGTGCGTTTGAAAATGCGGGGAAGCGTAATTGTTAGCATCAGAGCATTCAGGGTGTGAAGGGTGAACCAGTTTTGGTGACGCACTATATTACGGAGCATCAGTCCTGGTTCCTATAGCTATCCGTCGATTCAGCCACCCGAACGCACTTACGACAAGACTTATAGTGCTGTGCCAACATAATGCAAGGCTATATCAACTTGACAGTGCAAATGTATGTGTTCCGCAGTGGTACAAGAGCATGAGCTTCAGCCCTTTGCAGAATCCTTGCTCCCCACGAAAAGTAGGCGAGCTTTCATCAGGCCCTCCCGCACCTGTAGAATGTTAGATTCCAACTTAATCGTATCCCATTTCGCAGATAACACCAAGCCCTTCGCATCTACAGGTCGAAACTCGCTCGTTTACTTTTCCCTCAACCGCAACACATTGGTCTCACGTCATCGGTCTCTGTAACTGATCTGTCCTTGGCTTACTTTGACGCTCGAATCGGAAATAATGCCGCTCAGGTCATGGCTGTGCGCTCTATCGTTAAGCTGCGCCAAGGAGCGGCCCCATTCATCATTTTTGGACCGTAAGTATGCCATATGCATGTTGAATGGCTCACTTCTCATTCGTGTGTGCAGACCAGGAACAGGGAAAACGGTCACGGTTGTGGAGGCTATTCGGCAATTGCTCGCGCGCAACAGTCAAGCATGTATCCTAGCTTGTGCGCCGAGCAACAGCGCTGCGGACATTCTCGCTCAGCGGCTCAACATGTTGGATACGGATCAGTTGTTCCGCCACTGCGCTGTCTCGCGAAAACCGGATGAGGTGCCCAATGACTTGCGCTCATTCACCTATTTGAACAAGCAGGGAAACTTCTCAGTACCGCCCTTGGGGAAGCTTGCGCAATTCCGGGTGATCGTATGTACATGCGGTTCTGCGTCATTCCCATATGGAGTCGGCCTCCATTTCAGCCATTTCAGCCACATCTTCGTTGATGAGGCCGGGCAGGCCAGCGAATCCGAAGTGATGACTGCAGTCAAGCCTATGGTACTCCCATCTACCCAGGTCACTCCCTCGGGCAATCCTGAACAGCTGGGCCCCATCCGATCCACTGTAGCCCGGGAGCTTGGCTTGGGTAAGAGCTATCTCGAGCGGCTCGTGGAACGAGAGTTGTATCAACCGCCAACGGGGCGGAACAGATCGTGAGTAATACTCTGTACAGTGACTTGCAAATCATTCAATGCTCACCTCGTAACCTGCGTAGCTACGTCAAATTAGTCAAGAACTTCCGCTCGCACGGTGCCATTTCACATTCCCGAATCAGCAATTCTATGACAATGAGCTGCAAGTGTCCGGCTCTCCGAGCATCATCAATGCCTACCTCGGATTGAGGCATCTGGAGAACCCGAAGTTCCCTGTTGTCTTCCGCGCTGTTTCCGGCAAAGATGATAGAGAAGCCAATTCTCCCTCTTATTTCAACGTCGACGAGATAATCGTCGGAAAAAAGTACATCACCGATCTGCTCGCTGACCGGCGGCACCCGATCGGTGAGTACTACTTCCACTACATGCAACTATCGAATGCTGAGCCCTTCTTCCAGAGAAGAACGAGATCAGAGTGATCGCCCCATACCATGCACACGTACGCAAGTTCCGAAAGGCGCTCTCACAGAAAGTGGCAGGAGCTTCGGTGGACGGAGACGATGCGGTGAAGGTCGCCAGTGTGGAGGAATCCCAAGGCGACGTGAGTGGGCCTCCTTTATAGATATGCAGCCGTTAACAGATGTGGCACGCAGGAACGGAAGGTGGTCATACTCTCTACCGTACGCAGTAGCCGTGACCTGCTCGAGTACGATGCACGCTATGCGTTGGGATTCGTCGCCAATCCGTGGCGGTTCAATGGTACGCTCAATATCACCATGGCTCATACATTCCGCTCACCTTGTATTGTACCAGTTGCTGTCACACGAGCTCAAGCCCTCCTGATAGTAATCGGCGATCCATCAGTGCTGTCGCCAGATCTGCTCTGGAGGGCATTCCTCAACTACGTGTACCTCAATGATGGCTGGCACGGCGAGCCCATTACATGGGACCCTCATGCACCGGTGGATGACAACGGCGCGTTTGCACAGCAGCTGCAGCAGAACAGCCTGGCACATATCACGACATTCATGCAGCAGACGCAGGAGTTGGCTGGCGATGAAGAGGGTGGGGTGAACGGCGCTGATGTCGAGGAGGGTGCTGCCAACACGGAGCATGTGCATGGCGGAGTTCAAGAGTGACTTCGCGTGCAATATACTTGATCTTGTACATCTCACACATATGGGCACTTGCTTGATGTATTCGTGAGTAACAATTTACTTTACCCAGCAGCTACGTGAAGGGGATGCCTATGGTCTGAACCCTGGTCTACATACAAGAAGTACCGTACTTCAAGTTCCTGCTATTCGGCGCACAAACGTTCAAGCTTCAGTCCGACATGGAAAGCAACATTACAAACACCACATTCAAAGCATAGGCAAATCGCGACCGTTCGTACAAACCAGACCCCGAGATATTAATCTGACCTCTTCAGGACTATGTTGCAGATCACTGTGCAGCGATCGGCAGCAGAACGTCTGTATCAACCAAAGGTATATGCTGCTGGCACCCATGCATGTCAGTCTCCCCAAAGCTACCGTTCGGGTGCACCCTGCATAGAAAGCGAATCAACATTGAACTCATCGACCAAGGATATCCACCGCACCTCGGAATAGTGAACTTGAACGCACGCGCCTGCGGGAAGAATAGACAGGCGAGCACTGTCTCGAGCTTCACACCATATACCTTCGCGAGGATCTCCTTCGTAAGCACGCCGCTATTCTTTACCGCCTGGAAGATCTCATCGTTTGGGAACATCACGTCGAACGTCAACTCATACGGGCCGCTCTGCAATCGGGCATAATCAGCCTGTCGCCCAGCGCATATAGAAAGCAAAGCTACGCACATTCTTACTCCTCAACACCGTCGCCACGTCTCGCAGCTTTATCGTCTTATCCCCATGCTCGATAGCCCGGCGCCACTGGGCGACCGGGTCGACCTTCTTGCCCTCCATTTCCTTTTTCATCTCCTCCAGAGCACGCGCTGCGCTCGACATCTCTGCGTGGGCGAGGCACGTGTACGTCGGCCAACGGCTTGGGTCCACTTCAGTCCCTACGGTCTGGTAGGTAATCGGGAACGGTGCGAGCGGGTCGTCGACGTCGATGAGATGGTACACGCGGAACTCAGAGGCTTCGCCGAGGTCTGTCTCCATCGGCGTAAGTGGACCAGCGAGGTTCCCACCCGTGGCGACCTGCAAAGCGGCGCGTGAGTGGGGGAAAGGGGAGAGGTGTGGAGAATAAGGGGAGGACGTCTCGTAACTTCCCCAAAAACGACGTCACGTGACCGTGTCATCGAACCGCAGCAGGTCATTTTCAGCGAACGACTACCATAATATCTCTAGATCTGCTGATTCCTCCCCCGATGGTTGACCAGTCAGTGAGAGACGTCAAGGTAAGGAATCTGCTTTTCTGAACTTCAGTCTCACCTAGCCAATGCAGCACAACTCGTCTCAGGAAGAGTGGGAAGGCGAGTCGATGCAGATCGATGATCGCGACTCGGACAAGCAAAGCGGCCATCAACTTGGTTCTGGGAGGGCATCCAAATCTCGCCGAAGGAAGATAGTGCATGGCAGGGCAGTCAATACTGTCACTCAGACAATGACGCAACGCAGGACAACTCGATCTCGAGACGAATTTACACCTGTGATTGACCGCAAACAAGCTGCCGTTACCGGAGCATCGTCTGTGTCCCGGTACTTGTTCGATATTTTCTCCCTAGCATTGCGACTACTCCGCAAACCGCTTGGCATACTCTTATTCATCTGGTCCTTGGGCATTCTCTTCACATGGATGGCGCAGACCTTCCGCATGGTCTTCTCACCGGTTTGCATCATCCCCGGGATCTCCAGCTCTGCACTGTGCCAGAGAATTATGCCCATCATTGATAACTGCCCGAAATGGGCAAACTTCACTCAGCTTGCTGAGATCCAGGGTGCGACGTTCGAGCAGTTGCTGGACGAGTCGGTCATCGGTTCTGGCTTAAGTTTCGAGATCAAGAAAGCGGAAATGGCGACGAGCGATCTTGTCACGCTTGTGCACCATAGCGATCTGGTTAGCAGGGAACTTCTGGCAAAGTCCTTGGGCGATTTTGTGGACAATGTGAGGAAGACGGGACGGGGTTTGCATAAATTGAGCTCGAAAATCGGAGGAGCCGTGGATAGGTGACTATTGGCATATGACATATAATGTTCATGTACTGACAAACACTGAAGTGTCATGGCTGTCAACAACCTTGCAATTCGCGCCATCGAAGCAGCGAATGACAAGTCCTCATCAGGTTTATTGAACATTTGGCCATTCGCTCCCTCCGCTACCTCTGCTGAGACACGAGCAATCATCCGGCAGACTTTCACGGACTGCATGGACGTCCTCGCGAATCAGATCCATCGAGTCGTCCTCGAGGCCGAGGTGGACCTTGTGAACCTCGAACGCCTCGAGGAGCACCTCAGAACCATTTATGAAGTAATCACTCACGAGAACAACACTATCTCAGCCGAGTATGATGAGCTGCTTGCCTCTCTGTGGACCTTGCTCGGTGGAAACAAGCGCAAGCTGAAAGGGCACCAACAGCATCTGGTGCTACTGAAGGGACTGGGTGCGTACCGCAGACGAGCACTCGCATACGTCACGGTTGCACTGCAGACACTGCGTGCACTGAGTGCAGACATGGAGGAGTTACGTGAGAGGGTGGCAGCACCAGATATCCTTGGTGATAGGGTTCTAGTGGAAGTGCATATGCACGCTATCCGAGCCGGGCTTGATCGCTTGAAGAAGGGACAGATGAAGGCACGAGAGAGGGAGAGGGAGATTTTTCGTGGTATCCTCGGTTCGGACGCGCCGGCGTTGAATGAATGACATTGCAATGATACTGATCGTAACGGTCTCTTTTGCTCCGCTTTTTCTGATGTTCCCGTGCTGTACTGTTGAATGATGTTTTTACGCAGACAATAAATAACAAGATATCAGGGCCCGGTGCCATCTCAAGAGTTTTGCTTGAGCTGCCTAGTAAAAGAAGGCTGGTCCTCCGAAACGTCTTCTTGCAGAACGCGATTGGGCGTCGCGGCATTCAATTTACAGATGACCGCTCGCCAGGGGATAGTCAGGTAATCTTCGGCGACTATCCTAGCGGCACCTGGAGTGCAGGCATCATTCGCAAGATTTTCGTACATCAGAGCAAATTGGATGCTCTGCCATCGCAGAACGGCATCTATCTCCTCATAGAGCAGTACAAGCCACTGCATAGCCTCGACATCCACCACGATCTGTACTGCAGATATCTCGCTGCCGGTGGATGACTCTTTCAGGATGCCTTCCTTCCACAATTTGTTTTACTTCAACCACACCAGGTAGATTGCCATTACGCTTCGACTACGTGTCGCATTCCTGCGATTGGTTGCCAATGTGTGCATGTGCTACCACTAGATCGCATGTGTCTTGTAGGAACGAAAACGATTGATTTGCTAATATTATTCCACAGGGATAGGAGCTCAACAGGACGCTGTGTACATGCGCCGCATTATATCGACAACCATACCTCCATCTCAGCGGCCCTTCTTCATCAGATGGCTGCTCGAAATCTTTCAGAGAGGTTCTTTGCGCAGTACGCTGCCCAATATGAGCCACATTCTTCTGAGCCCTTTGACACACCGTAGATGAAGCGGATATTAAGATCGGTTAGTGTTTCGTAGGCGGCCTTCAGCAAGCCGATGTCGATTGTGGGCGTCGCCTCCGCACGAGTGGAATGCTTTGCCTTGTGAGGGAGAAAGCGCAGAAGAGCCTGGTGATATGCGAGCTTTATCTCGCCCGCAGATGAAGAGAATAAAATAATAATCGGGGAGTGCATTGTCATCCAGCTTGGTCAAAACCTCGGCGAAGGACTGGAGAGCAAGGATTCAGATGGACAGTTGAGCTTGAGCACTGAGCTGGGCAGGTCAGAGAAAATGTGGTCCCAGCCCATTGGATAGGCTCGTACCAACACTGTCCGAGCATTTGCCGTACCTCGAGGAGAAGATGGTTGGTGCGTGAGTGCCGCTCTCGAGCTCGCTTCCGCTAGCGATCGCACCCAGTTCGTCCAGTCTGCACACGATCAGCACAACGATCATCACAGCCACTGCGGTAGTTCGCAGCAGGTTCCCAAGCTGCATTTGCGTGCCGTCGCTCTTCATCGCCTGCCGCCGCACTCAGATCTCAGTGACTTTTCGATCAATTTTCAATGAATGAATCCACTAGCACGGGCCAATGTGTCTCGTTGTGGTGGCGCGCGGTGCGGTGCACGTGGAATTACACACGGAACGCGATCAGCACAGCCACTGCTATCTATTAGGATGCTGACTCAGTGAGCTAGTGCGGCCGCTACGTCTATGCTGTCGCATGGGAATTCCGGTCATATTGCACAGGGCTCTACCACTTTGGCCATGTCCAAGTTGCTGCAGCTACTCGCACGCAATCTCCACTCTTGTGCTCTCTCATCACGTCACATCCCCTAGCAATGGTTCTGCGCGTCTGGCTCACCGTGAACCAGCCCCAGTTAACATGCGTCTCCATTGATGCTCAATCTGTTGCAGTCACCGGGACACGTGAGTCTACATCACCGATCTGGCTCTCGCCCTAGAATACACCTGCTAACCCGTCCTCTCTGAAGGCGACATTGCGGTGGCCACCCTCCGCAAGCCCGAAGTCCTGTCTTCCCTCTCCGAGAAGTGCCCCGTGTCCCAGCTGCTCATGATCAGGCTCGACGTCGTTCAGCCGACAGAGATATCTGCCGCGTTCAAAGCCATCACTCGCGCGTTTCGGCCACGTATTGTCATTGATATTTGTCGTGATTGGATTCCTCTGGGTGGCACTATCAACCCGTCGTAACGGGCGTTACTGGACAGCACTCTGTGTGAGTATCTAGCCTGACGAACGGCATCCGTTCCAGCATTCCTTGGTAAATTATGCGGGCCACTGACGGATCTTACCCACCATCGTCTGTGCGGCCAACGCTTGGAATGCAGGTGTGAATGGATTGTATCATATCTCGAACGCAATTCTAATGGGCGTCTCATACTAGACAGGACTGCTGAATGGTTCTTTCATCTCTGCTGGCCTTGGTGGGGAGTCATCATCGGCTATATCATTGCCGTGTCATGTAGTCATGCGTGTTCGTCGAACCCCGCGTCCCTGACGGGATCAGCCTGAGGAACTTCGGTATACAAATGGTAAGTTCCGTCTGTATCAATCATATCAATCATATCGTTCTTGTTCTCCTTCCTTCGCGGCTGCATGCATTGTTTGCGATCTGTCGAACGGCGCATATAGTCTGTCCGTATTCTTCCATCACGCACATCGCCATTGCTGCGCCCATGTCCTTTGCGTTGGGCATCTGTCCTTTCGAAGCACGGGGGCTGTCTCGGCAGAGGATGCTCGCAGAAATAGAGATGATCGTCGTTCCCTCTATTCAGCGCGCGGAGGTGCGAAGGCTTCCAGCGTTGGCTTATCGGCCGGGACTTTGGCCCAAGAAGTGATAGAGCGGAAGCTCCGCTGGCTTGGGCCCGCTTCTGCGTTGTTGTGCGTTCATGAAATGAAGAGAAGCGCGAAGCTGCTGGGTGGAGCTGGTGCAGTGCTGCGAAAGAAATGTGGAGCTGGCGAGACAGTGTCTGTTTGCACCAGTTCTCAATCATGTGTGCGGTAAGGGGCTGTGATCTGCGCTGTTGGCTAGTGCGAGAGGTGCAGGCAAGGGCGAGGATAAGTACGCGTAGTTGCCTCGTATTGGACACACACGCGGATGAAGCCTCGTGACATCATCTGCGACGGACATGCGGTGATCCTGTGAATTTGATGTGCACTTGTGCTTTCTAACTCTGATCCCCGTCGCGCAACGGCAGGCCGTGGCGGATGCGAGGAGATCATGAGTTACCCCTGCCAAGTCCTCGTCATGACATTCTCTATTGGATAGAGCTGAGCGGGCTTTCCCTCCAGCACGTCTTTGCGACCATCTCAAACATCATAGTGTATTCGCCCAAGGGCAACACTCATGCCGCATTCGCGCTTGCGGAGAAATTCCAGGATGCAGTCGAGGCGAAGCACGCTCCGCGCGCTGTTCGATATCTGTCGGCGGATCTTGCCGCTTACAATATCTTCGTGCTATGTAGAGGCCTCCCCCGCAGAAATGGAGAAGACGATGCCTCATCTCCTGGTGCGCATGCAATGTCACCTTCGCGCCCTTCCCTACTTCAGCGCACGTGCGTGCTGCCGAGGAGCACCTGAGCGCACTCGAGCGTAAGTAACCGAGCACTGCGTCACGGAGTTAAGTCATCTTTCCGATGAGGAGGCGCGCAAGACGCGGATTGCAGCGCGTCCGCCTCCGGGTGCAAGCTCCGTGATACACCTCCCGTTCCCAAGCTCACCACCGAGCACGGCGACGATGAGAAATGCGCTTGCGCCGGTCATTGCGTTCCTGGAGGGCTTGTTGCAACTGCCTGCGCCTCTCACGCTTGCTGCTGCCAGAGTGCAGCTCACGCCGCCGCCACGGCCGCCGATGCTGCCGCATGTGTATGCCGAGCGCCGCGCGTCTGGTTCATTCATCCAGCTCTTTGCCGAGCTCGTTCTTGCCTTCGTCTCCGGTTGCGACTTCGAGCGCATATACGTGCACGCGGTCGACGTCTGCGCCTTTCCTGTCTTCGTCTGTTCCCTCACCAGCTCCATCATCTTCCGGTTCCTCCTCTTCCTCACCTTCGACTGCGTTGTATGCTTCCTCCGGTGCCACCAGCCAGACCTCAACCTCTATGTATGATGAGCTCGTCCCGCTGCGCACGCGTCCGTACAAGATGCTGATCTACTCTGCGGATGGGTACACCGAATCTTCGGTCCTCGCGCTGACGCTTCTGTTGGCGCTTCGCCGGATCTCGCTACCCGAGGCGTATCTTAAGCTGCAGAACGAGAAGCGGCGGTCGTTCTTCGTGTATCCGGCGGATCTGCCGGTGCTCAAGAGGATCGAGGCATGGATGGAGCGCGAGAGAGGGAAGGAGAGGAAGGGGCAGGGTGTCGTTCTGTGGGTCTCAACAGGAGAAGCAAGTCGACAATCCCGCTGAGGTTGATCAAGCTTCTGAAGGCGGCGATGCGACTGACCATCCTGCAGCTACTCAGAAGTTGGTCTCGTTTGCCATACCACCAACTCCCCAGGAACTGTTGACGGCCGTGACTGCTCGGCCGTTGAGGAGCCAGTCGGAGAGCGACAAGGATTTGATTGCTCACGGAATTGTGGGGATTGGCCGGCCGCGCGCAAGCATGATGCCGAACCCATCTGCGCTGTTGTCGATTCGTGACCATGAGGTGTGGTTCAACGACGACCCGAGGTTCGATGGGAGTTTCCCACGTCAGGTGATACCGTTTTTGTACCTTGGGAACTTGTGCGTATCTTCGTCTGTCGACTTTTGGAAGTCGCTGAGTCTTTTATAGGAACGATGCTACGAACGCATACATGCTGCATGCGCTCGGGATCACGCACGTCGTCGCTGTCAGCGAGTGGGCGCTTATGCCACCACTTAACCTGGAGGCGTCCGCCTCAGAATCGTCATGTGCCTATGCTGGCGTGAACCTGAATGCGCAGTTTGTCCCTGGCAACGGCCCGCATGGACATGGTTCGCTCTTCATTGAGGAGCATGAGATCCGATTCAAGGTGCTCGACATAGTGCGATGATGGGATTGACACGCTGGAGCCGCAATAGGAGCCGATTTGTGAGTGGATCGATAGGGCGCGCCAGGATGGAGGGAAAGTGCTGGTGCATTGTCGTGTAGGCGTGTCCCGCAGTGCGACTGTCACGGTATGTCACTAGGCCGTTTGCAGATCGCATATGTGATGAAGCACCTGAACCTGCCTCTGGTTGACGCCTACTTGATCCTTTCCTCCCGTCGTCTCTCTGTCTGATCCAGCCTCAATGAGACTGCTGTACAACCTCCTCGGATGGGAGGTCAAGCTGGCATGCCAGCGCGCAGGCGATAACGAGCGCAAGCTGCAGGCTGACCTCGCGCGGAGTCTCAACTGACCATACCTCGCGAAGGAAGTGCACGCGCTCAATGAGAAGTATCTGCACTAGTCCGCGGGCCATAGAGCCCATTTGTGCTTCCTTCACTGCTTCGATGGTAGTCTGGGTTGCTGCCTTTGCAAGCTCTGTGTCTGGTGCTTGTCCGATTCCACTCTTGAACTCCCTGGGAGAGACACCCTATTCCCGATCCGAGACGATACAATCGACCTATTGGTTGGAGCCTACTAATTCGCACGGCGTTTGCGGTCTGGACGACTGTTTGGGTCTGCGCAGCTGCGAGGTGAGTAGCTGGTTTGCAGGATTTTTGGGTCGCTCTTTCATCGGGCATCACAGGACACAAGTACATCAAGCTCAAGGCTATTCATGATAGCGAAATCGTGGACGAGCATGCGAAGCACTGCATGTACTTTGCATGCATCAAATTCGTTAACTCGGTAGGTCGCACGACCGTCCAACGGATGACTCACCTTGTCATGCGCCTTCTGTTGACAGGAAGACAGCCTCGCTATGGTTGCATTCGCCCATGCTTGATGACATTTCTGCCGGGCAGTACGACCGTGTCTCACAGCGCGACTTCTGTAGGTAAAGACGTGTGACAAGGTGAACTCGGTGCTTGGAAAGCTGCCGGTCATGCAGCACTCTCTCTTCGGGTCGATTCTTTCATGGGATGGCCCGATGCCCCCGCCGCGGAGTGAGGTCGAGGAAGACGACGCGCATTTAGGCCACGCGCACACGCACGCGGGACTTCGGGGGGGTGCGGGCCAACGTGAGGTGGGGTGTGGCGACTGCTGTGGGATCCCTGTGCCCTCTGTGTTCGGGGCGGTGGCCGCAGAGAAGGGCAAGATGTCAGTTCCGTTCGACTGCGTTCCGATTTGAGTGTGCGACTGACACATGCGCGGGTGCTGATAGGCTGGTGGTGCGGTGGCGAGTCGCGTGATCGTGATTTGGTATATCAGTGGCCATCAGTCGCATCAGGTTGAAGGAGACCCCAAGATTGAGCGACTATCCACCTCAATGCGGCATATATGCGTGTCCTCGAGCCCATCTTCCTGGTCCCTCGAGAAAAAAACGCGGTCTTCTATTGCCGGAAGTCCTACGAAACTTTTCCCGGCGCACGTTGGTTAGTGTTTGCATTCTTACTTGGTTTGTGTGCTCACCTCCTCAGAAGGATGCCTAGGCTGGTACCTGCAGAATGCACTTGAAGAGCTTGGTGCGATATGCTCCTATCATACGCATTTGGGACGCACGAGGGCGCTCCGCTGACTTCTTATGCAAGGCTGCACAGTCTGCAGGATACAGACGCGTCTCAACTTCGACAATGGTGTGATGGCCTTGGACAGCTCCAGTGCGCATGCTCTGAAGGAGCCCCCGTCGAATGAGGACGTCGTGCTTACCGTGGCTCGACCGAGACCGACATGGCGCCGCATTCTGTTCCTTGTCATAGCCGTCGCGACTGCTGCGCTCATCTTCTTTGGGCTCGCCCTTAGACTTGAGCTCAGGCTTGGGCTGCAGAGCCATCGCTTGTCTTCCTTGGCAACACGACCGATGAGATGGTAGCAGTCCAAAAAATGGACTCCGTGCATATTTTATGAGCATGGATATGGTCGACGAAACTACGACTAGATATTATGATTTTGTTGTGGAGGACGGGACAGGCACCCAAGACGGTGTCGAAAAGACCATGCTTGTTGTCAATGGTGAGTCTGTGCAACGTTTGTGACCGTCTTCCGTGTTGACGTTTTTATCAAGGACTTTATCCTGGGCCAATGATCGAGGCAAACACCGGAGATCGAATCATTGTGAACGTGACGAACAAGATGGTCAATGCCACGTATGCTATTGCCACCCGTGCGCACGCTCACTTCCATTTTCACAGGGCCTTTCACTGGCACGGCTTGTATCAGTGAGTTCTCTTCATCCTCGCCTGTATACCATCGTCACTCACACGCATGGCGCAGAAACGGCACGAATTATTATGATGGTACCGACGGAATTACACAGGTACAGTGATGGCCGCGTGCTTTGTTTCCCATTGATCAATGGCCCACCATGACAGTGTGGTATTCCACCTGGCGAATCTATGGTGTATAACTTCACGGTAAGTGTCTTGTAATGTACGGAAGCGCACCGTTTCTGACCACATAAAGCTAACAATAAGGTAGATTATAGCATCCAATATGTAGACGGTATAATTGGCGCTCGTGAGTAATCGCACTCTCTGCTAAACTCGTCTCGTTACTTACTTGTGCTCAGTGGTTGTCCATGGCACGGTCGAGAAGGATTCTTCTTATGGGGTGTGGGGAAATTGCCGCCTCACGCACGCTTAGTACCGCCTTGTGCACGCTTCGTCCCGCCTCTTCGTCCTGCACGCTCGACTCTGCCGCTTCATATCGCTTCGCTACCGCCATCCTACCGCTTCACTACCAACCTCTTGATAAGCCCGATGCAATCTGTGCTGATGACCACGGCGACTCGAGCTTGGGACGCCGGGTCATCTTACAGAGGTCCTAGTGCATCCTCACCCCTGTCCTACCTGCCTTGCCACATGAAGCGTGTGTGAGGCGGCACTAAGCGCGCACAAAGTGGCATTTCTCCCGGGCCCCTTCTTATGATAAGGACCTCGTAACACAGATCTCAGATTTGTTCCATGGGTTCTCCACGGACCTCCTAGAATACTACTTCACTGTAAGCCATACAAACTACTCTTCTCCTCGTCGAATTGCCATTGAACCTATCGCTTCTTGTAGCCAAGCGGAAATGATGGCACCCCCAGAAATGAGTCGGTTGCTGACGGAGGTACCACAGGATTTATTTGGAACTTATGTTTTGATAATACCCTACTTCAGCAACGAGACGTACCGCCTTCGTCTCATTGATCCGGGCACCTTCGTGGCGTTGGAGTTTTCCGTGGAGAACCACATGCTCACGGTCATCGAGGCAGATGGCACCACCGTCTACCCGGTTGAGGTGTCTAGTGTCTCCATCACCGTAACGCAGCGGTATAACGTGCTACTTCGAACGAACCAGATGGCGGGAGCGTACTGGATGCGTGCCACACTTCACCAGACCGCATTCACATACGATAACCCAGGATGCCAACCGGAGATCCGGGGCGTGATCCACTACGGAGTGGACGATGATGCTATGCCCGATATCGACCTGCTGAACAATTCGCCGAGTTTGCCGAGCGGTGCCCCGGGTACGCTCGACACGGCGGACCTCGTACCTGTCGGTGGAGGACCGGCGCCGGAGCCTACGTTGCGCATTTCCTTCGCGTTTATATGGGTGACGAGTGCTGATGGTGTCATCGCTCGACGTACTTCACCGTTTCGACGCAGTACCCCGAGGGCGGAGACCACTATTCGCGTTACCTCGCGTTTATTAACAACACCGTACGTTCACCTATTCCCTTCTTTCTTCACCCTGTCATATTCACCACGAATCCACAGTCCTGGGACCCCCTCAAGAGCGCCTCAAGTATATACGCGCAACTCGGGAACTCCACCAGTGACGGGTCCACAGACTTCTCTGGTTCGCAGCTCATCACGACGGTCAACGAGATTGCGACAGTATAGATGATCATTGACAACTTCGACGATGGCGATCATCCATTCCACTTGTACGGCTATCATGGCTTCTGGCGATGGCAGGTACGAAGGGCAGAGTGTGATTAACACCGCGCCGATGGAGTGAGTTTTCATCGTTTGATTGACCAGCGGGAGCGAGTTTTGATCAAATTGATGTTCATCAGTCGGTATACGATTGTGATCCCTGCATTAGCTGGATGATCCTCCGTTTTGTGGATGACAATCCGGGATACTGGGCATTCCACTGCCATACGTGATTTCCAGTGCCTCAACCGGACTGCGTGACTCACGAGTTGTTTTCGGCAGATATCGAATAGCATATGGTAAGTAGTCATGTTTGCAAGGCTTTCCGTTCAGTCAAGAGCTCATTCCACCTTCTGTAGGCTGCTAGACTACTGTTCCAGTTCAATGTGCTGCCGGCTCAAAGCCAGAAGTTCTAAATTCCTCAATATATGATAGACCAATATTCGCGGCAATAGATGATAGAGACCGCTATCTTCAAGGTTGCAATCTGATAAAGCCATTTGCGCATGGTGCTCAAATGTATTCGGTGCAGTTTGAATTGGTGTGTAATCCAAGGACATCTATATAGCTATTTATTCAATACAATGCTAGCCGAAAGCCTTTAGATCATATGCTCGGCGGCCGCATTTGCATACACGTTCGAATTCAGTGTCCACGGCACAGTTTCTATGGGTACGCGGCTCCTGTGGCTGAACCTTCGATACCGAAAGAATCTTCCGGGCTGCTCAGAGGACATGCAATTTGCCGTGCCCAATGATTGGTGCGTGATATGTGCATCATGCGGACAACGCCTTGGTTTAGCACGTTCGTGAAGGGGAATCATGGCAGTCTGCTCCGTGGTCGAGATCATTAATTCTCTCGACACGACGCAATCAAAAGTTTGGATCTTTGGGGTACACTGAAGCCACGTCCTGCCATTTTATGTGCTTCCCCTATGTGCCTTATTCACGAGATCATCATTGCCGCGCCCACCGCCGCGCCCTTCTGCCGTAATTGGCGTGAAAGCGGAGACGCATAAATTGGACGGGGTGCGTTGCTTGCTTCCGCCTGGCTTGGCGACCTTCATCCTCTGAGTGCTCCTTTGTCTAGTTTAACTATGGCGTCCGTTGCTCGCTGTGCGCTTCTCGCAGCTTCTGTGGCAGCACTCGTACATTGGGCGTCCGCAGCCACTGCGCAGAACTTCCAGCGACCGGCATTCTCGCTGACCTCAGAGTCGACGAACTACATGGGGACGTCAAACGGCACCATCGAAAACGGCCCGCTGGTGCCCCGAGCCGCTCTTCGATCGCACGATGCACGATGCTCTGTGGACGTGGTGCGTACAAGCGGAGATGAGCGAGGACGAGAAGAAGAAGGACGCTCTGGATGTTCAGGATGCTCAGGACGTGAAGAGCGAGAGTGCGCGCGCCTGCCCGAATGTTCCGGAGGCGTTCCCTGTCGGAACCGAAGACGCCCCCCTCGTTGTCCCAGAGCGCGAACACAAAGACACCACAGGAGCAGGAGCGTGAGGACGCGGACAAGGAGCG